GGTGCGACCTTTGGTCTTGTTTGGTTCGCTTTGGTGTCATTGTTTCAGGGCCCATATGTGTGCCCTCTTGACTGTAGTGGTGGACCGACTACGCTTCTCCCTTCGCCAAGCTACACACTTTGGGTTTGGCCTTACCTAATGGGAAATCAGATGCCATAGCAGCGCCGTCGCCGTGAATCGGGATAAAGCGACTTCGTGCGCCAGCGGTCTTTGCGTTGGAGTTGCGTTGGTGTCGCAGTTTCAGTGGATTTCTATTACCTTACCGCGCTGCTATGCTTGCGGGTTTTGTCCTCGGATATGTGGACGCGCGTCGCGTCTCCTTTTTTGGAGGTGTCTGCGTCGTCTATTGCAGCGATGCTGCCGCCCCGCAGTCTTGACAGCGCCGAAAGGGGGGCCGCTTTTTGGTCTCTCGCCTTTAGTGCCGTGAGCTTTGTGCCTGGCCAGAAAGGCTTTGCTTTTTTTGGGTTGTGGTCTTGGATCGTTTGCTCGGCTGCTTTTTCCACGTCCCCGGTGCGACGTTTGGTCTCGTGGGTTTCGCGTTGGTCGCACAGCTTCGGTAGTGCCCTATAGTATGACCTCTTGGCCGCAGTGGTGGAAGAGCAAGCTTTTGCTGATGTTTCTGAGAATGGCGGGGCTTTCGACCAGCTGCGGCGGCTCATTCGCAGGCGGCGGCTCTACCAGCCACATAATGACGCTGGAGGAGTGCCGCGTGAATGAGGTGCATCCATTGAAGACCAAGAAGGCGGCGAATCTTTGCGCCGCCTCCGGCCGGGTGGGTAGCTTTTCACCTTTGGCCGCCAGCCAGTCGAGGAAGAAGGCGACCCGCGACCTTTTATTTCTCCCTCGTCGTAGAGTCGGCCTCCCCCATGGCGCGCAGCTCGTCGCCATTTAGATCGATTGCCTTGCGTAGTGCGTCCTCCCGCTTGCTTCGACGTCTATTCATGTTATGCGAGGCAGCTTCTCGCTTTTTGCTTAGTTATCTCTCGGCCCTCCTTTTCCTAATGCTAAAAGGATGCTTCGCTTTCTCGTTAAGCTTAAGCTGTAGGCTATCTCAGTTATGCTCTCGCTCTTACCGACTTACTTGGTCTAGGCTGGTTCGTCCGGCTGCTTAGGTGAACCGCCACCATGGATCTTGGCCGCCTCCCGTATCGCATTCGCATGAAGTGGCGCCCCCAGTGCTAGACTTTTCACTTACTCGCAGCTCTCTTCTTTCTCTGTTTTCCCTCTCTTTAGCTTGGCGAGATATAGTCCGTCGCTTCCCCGGACACCATACCGCCGGCACTGCATCGCCGTGCTCGGCCACCAGTCGTCACTGGTGGCTTGTTTTGTTTCTTCCCCCTCAACTAGAGCGCTTTTTACTCTGTCAAAAAGGGAGAAACTCTTGCTCCGCCACTGGCTGAGTAGTGGCCTGGTCTTCCTGGTAATTTGACCAGGAGACTGCTGGCGAATGCGTTTGCGTTCTGTTTTCTTTTCTGAGGATTTGTTATCCTCGAGGCCGGTAGCCTCTTTCTCCCGGCTAGTCGCGTTCTAGCCTATGCGCAGCTCCTTCCACTACACCGCGAGGGAGCCTTCGCTCCCGCCGGGCTCCTTTCCGTCTTTTCCCCGGCAGGATTTTGCCCTTCACCGCCACCGGCTCTATCGGCGGCGAGCGCGTGGGCGTCTTGTTGCGGCCGCGATTGTCTTTCTCGCGTCAGGCGGACGGGCACCCGGCCACCAATGGCGTTACAAACTGGCTAAAAAAGTCGGCTTTTTGGAATCGCGAGGCGCCTTCCCTGGGCTGTTGTGTGTCTGTTTCGTTTCTGGGGTTTTTCTGCTTTTCTCTTGTTGTTTTGTTGGTATATTTGCGAGCGACAAGGGGGGGCGCTTCTGAGTGTGTTTCCTTTCTGGTACTCTACAGAGGTTCCGCGGGTCTTGAAATCTGCGGCAGCGGATCAAAAAAGACGACCGAAAAAGTCCCCGCGCTTTTTCGGTCGTTCTTTTTTTCGATCGGTTCTGGTTCTGTATGCTTTGGCGGAGTGGCTCGGCTGGGGGGTGCATGTCTTAGGAGTGTCGGCTGAAGGGGGTGCATCGCTGAAGCCGGTCAGGGAGACGATAGGCCGTCGGCCTTCGGGTGTGATGCTTCTGGCCTCCTGGGTGTTTTCGTGCTGCTTTTCAGTGGGTTGGGCTTGTTTGTGTTTGTCGTCGGTTGCTTGGTCGTCTTGGCCCGCCCCCTGTGAAGGAGGGGCCGGGGGCATTTAGGGGAGTGCCTCTGCCATTTGGTGCCCACACTGAGCCACGGCCCCAGGGCTTGACGATTGGCGCAACAGCTCGCGCGGAAGTGCTGGGCCTCGCGCTCGAAGGGATGGGGGGACCCGGTAGGGGTCGCGCCTGGGCTTGGGGGGTGGGGTCCCGGTCGACGGTTAAAAAACGGCTAAAATTTTCCGACCTTTTCCCGGGTTAATTTTTTAAAGCGTGAGTTTTAAGTTTTTTTTACCCGTCAATTTTAACTGGTTTTTTAACCGGTTCCCGCGGGGTCTTGGGGCGCTTGCCTTCGGGCTGCGCAGCCGTGGCGTAGACTGGGTCGCATCTGACGCACCTGCCGCATTCCGCTGGCAGGCCTCGACGCGTGGCGTGGTGCTCGTGCAAGCTCCGCGGGGTTGGCTGGGTGGTGCGCGTGTGGACGTTGAGGCCCCGCGTCGAGCAGTGCCTACCTGGAGTGGGGCTGTAACGTCTACGCCAGTCAGGTTGCGTGGGTCGGGTCGCGTGATTCTGGAGTGGGCGCCGGGGCCACAGTTCGCTGGCCCCTCGAAGTGTGGCCGTAACGTCCGCGCCGGTGAGCCTCGCGGGCTGGTGTGGTGTCGGCTCTTTGTGTCGAGCCTTTTCCTGGGGTGTCTTTCTCGAAGTGTGTGGGGCCGCTTGCTGGAGGCCGGCCCAGGTGCATGCGCTAGACCCGCGGGCGCCTGCTATTGCATTGCGGTGGCACGGGTTCGCTCGGTGAGGTCTTTCGTGGGTCTTTTGTGTCGGGTCGGTTGTTGCCCCCCCGGATGCCAGATCAGCTGACGCGGGTGCGTTGTGGTGTCTGTCGGTCGGGATTTTCTCAAAAGCCGAAAACTTTAGCCAAATTTTAACCGCATTTGTTGGCTCGGGATGTGTCCGCCTGACTCGCGACTGTCGTTGCGCCGTCGGTTTCCCAGCGGAGTCGTGTTCTCGTCGCTTCGCTGGGGTCTTTTAGGGTGTCGGCTTGAGCGGCTGTCTTTGGCTTTCATCGCCCTCATCGGCTGGGCCTTCGGCTTCACGAGGTCCCTCGGATCGGGTTGCTTCTTTTTCTTTCGCCGCCGCGCGCCCGTTTCGCCGCTGTGCCGGTTGGCTGCTGGTTGATGTTCTGTCTTGCCAATCGGGCTGCGAAGAGGACTTCAGCCAGCTCTTTCTGTGGGCGGATCACCTCTGCCCAAGTTTTCTTGGTGATGGTCACGTCTGGCGGGAGGCGATTGCGGTCGATGGGGTGGCGGCGTGTGCGTTCCAGGTGCTGGGCGTCGTTGTGGCAGCCTGGTTGCACCGCGTGCGCTTTGTGCGCGTGGAACCAGTGGCACACCGCCGGCGGCAGCATGACTCTTCAGGGACTTCAATGCAGACGGCTCGGCCACGCCGGTTCGAGGGAAGTACACGTAGCACGTGGTGTGTGTGCTTCTTTTTGCGTTTCGGCGCTCGGCCAGTACCACATCGGCACGTTTGTCGAGGCGGCGGCTGTGGGCTGGGTCCATTGCCGGGCTGAAGTCTGTTTTTTTCCAGATACAGCCCTCCAGTCAAACGTCGCTCGGCATTGCTGTGCCCATGTCGTCGTCTCCACCGCTGTCGACGTCACTGCCGAACGGGTTTTGCGGGCTTTCGCTTGCCGACTGCTCTCGTGAGTCGCTTCGTTGGCGGCTGTGGCTCCGGGGGCGCAGTGTGGCCGCCACGCGTTCGCTTCTCGGCTTGCTTAAGCTCGCCCCGGCGTTGCGCATGGAGAGCATTTCGCTTTTAATCTCTTCTATGTTTTCCCTGGGGATCGCTTTTTGGGCGGGCGGTTTGGTTTTTCCGCTGTCTTCCTCGTCGGTGTAACGCACCCCATCGATGAGGTGGGGACCGAAGTGGCTGCACCAGGCCAGCAGGTTGAGCGTGTATCTGCTCAGCGGCCCGCTTTCCCAGCGTTTCGCTTTCTGCTGGAGCGCGTCGAGGCTGCGGGGGCTTTCTCTCAAGAAGACCATCGCGCACTTTTTTGCTGGTGATTGCTGGGGAGTTCTCGCTGAGCTCCGTCATGAAGTCGAAAGGCTGCAGGTCGGTGGCGCCGCTGATAGCGCTCTCCACTCGGCGCAGCGTTTCCCAGCACTGGCCCAAATTGCATCTGTCCCAGTAGTCGGCTGGGACGCTGGAAGTGACCTGTTTGTGGGTCAGGTTCTGGAGCGCACTGCTCGTGCGTTGCAGGTTGTCTCCGTTGAAGCTTACCTGTGACGGCGCAGATGGAGGCCTTGGGCTGGTTTTTTCCCACCTGGGCTGCGCCCCAGATGCCTGAGGCCGCGCACGCGCCAAAAAGCAGCGCCCAGGCTTTTGCTTTGTTTGGCTCAGGCGTTGGCTTGCCGTCGTGGTTAGGCTTAGGGCGCTGCTTTCGTCCACGTCAAACAGGGGGCGGAGGCCGTGCCTTTCCCCGTGTTCTAATAACGCGGCAAGCGCGTGGCTTGCTTGCTTCGAGGCTTTTTCTCCGTTCGTGAGTAAGCAGCTTTTATTTTATATTGCTCTTGCGCGTCCGCAACTTCTGTGCCGGCTGCTAAGACGGAGGGCCAGGCCACTTCTGCCTCCGCCTTTTTTTCGACGCCGTTTAGTTTACGCGTCGGCAGACGAAGTACTTCCCTCCTTCGCTGGCCGGGCGCGTGTCGTCGTAGGAGAAGTCTTTGTCCTCTCCGCTGCTGTTCAGAGCCGTCGCAGTGGCTTTTGCTGTCTTCTTTGCGAGCCAACGTCTTGGACAGAGCTGACGTCTCCGGCGGCTCCTCCGAAGGTTCTTCGCCTTTGTCGGCGAAGTCGGCGGGGTCTTCTTCGTCTTTTTTCTCCTTGGTGTCGAGGGCCGCTTTGCGGTGCTCCTCCTCTTCCTCGAGGAGCTTCCGGCCCTCTTCCTCGCGCGCTTTGCGGACCGAGGAGGGACGCCCACCGGACAGCTTTGTGGCCGGTCGCGTGTCCCAATCGCCACGCACCTCCTTGCTTGTGCGTTCGATCAGGTAGCGGGCGATCGCCTGGCTTTTGGCGGTCTGCGCTGGCACTTCTGCCTGGTCCAGCTGGGGGCCTTCCTCCCGAAAGTTTTGTTCGGCCAGCTTCGCGCCGGCTTCGGGCGTCTCGCTTTTCGTTAGAAACTTCGAGGCCCAGGGTTCCACCGCCAGCGCCTCGTGGTATGCGCCCAGCCAACGGGGGAACCGCTTCGAGGTGCTTCCCGCTTCGGTTAGGGTCCTGGCTAGCTTCTCCCCCGAAGCGCGGGCCCTCCAGGTCTTTTGTGACCGGGTCGACGAACTCCGTTTCCGGAAGGTCGCCGACCATCTGTCGGAGTGCTGCAGCCCAGTCCTGGACGTTTGCGCAGAGTATGGGCTTTTCCTCGTCTTGCGTCTTCTCCTCCAGCTGCTTGCGCAGCGCCTCCATGGCCTCGGCCATGGAGGTGCGAGACAGTGGCCCGTCGATCAGTTTCAGAAGGGCCCGGCCCTTCTTGTCGACGTCCTCGCTCCCTACAGGATTTCTGCCTGTGTGGATCGCGAGGTCTCCGACGTTTTTCGGGGAGGTCGTTTCGTTTTTTGTTTTATTTTTGCAAAAACCAGAGTGCGGAGGCGCTGCTAGTCACTAGCTTACTAGATTGCGGCTATACGCGCGCAGCCAGTCCCTTGGCTTTTTATCTTGCCCAAGCTAGGCTTCACAGCTTGGAGCTATGCTAATGTGTGCTGCCACAAGCGCCACCCCACGCGGAGACTTTTGCCCTGCGCAGGGATGGCGCGCCGCGCGCGCGGCGGAGCCCGATTTTTACGGGCTCCCCCGCACCCCCCACAGGGCGCCACGCGCCTGCTCACCGCACCCGCCGGAGGGCGCGTTGGCCCTCCCCCGGCCTGCGCGCGAGCGCTTTGGCCCGTGCGCCGGCAGCCTGCTTTCTGCTCTGCTCTGGCCCGTGCGCCGGCAGCCTGCTTTCTGCTCCGCTCTGCTCCGCTCTGCTCCGCTCTGCTCCGCTCTGCTCCGCTCTGCTCCGCTCTGCTCCGCTCTGCTCCGCTCTGCTCCGCTCTGCTCCGCTCTGCTCCGCTCTGCTCCGCTCTGCTCCGCTCTGCTCCGCTCTGCTCCGCTCTGCTCCGCTCTGCTCCGCTCTGCTCCGCTCTGCTCCGCTCTGCTCCGCTCTGCTCCGCTCTGCTCCGCTCTGCTCCGCTCTGCTCCGCTCTGCTCCGCTCTGCTCCGCTCTGCTCCGCTCTGCTCCGCTCTGCTCCGCTCTGCTCCGCTCTGCTCCGCTCTGCTCCGCTCTGCTCCGCTCTGCTCCGCTCTGCTCCGCTCTGCTCCGCTCTGCTCCGCTCTGCTCCGCTCTGCTCCGCTCTGCTCCGCTCTGCTCCGCTCTGCTCCGCTCTGCTCCGCTCTGCTCCGCTCTGCTCCGCTCTGCTCCGCTCTGCTCCGCTCTGCTCCGCTCTGCTCCGCTCTGCTCCGCTCTGCTCCGCTCTGCTCCGCTCTGCTCCGCTCTGCTCCGCTCTGCTCCGCTCTGCTCCGCTCTGCTCCGCTCTGCTCCGCTCTGCTCCGCTCTGCTCCGCTCTGCTCCGCTCTGCTCCGCTCTGCTCCGCTCTGCTCCGCTCTGCTCCGCTCTGCTCCGCTCTGCTCCGCTCTGCTCCGCTCTGCTCCGCTCTGCTCCGCTCTGCTCCGCTCCGCTCTGCTCTGCTCCGCTCTGCTCTGCTCTGCTCTGCTCCGCTCTGCGTGTGAACTCCGCCCCCTGGGTGTAGCATTAACGCTCTCACCCGACCGCGCCCGAGCCTCCCGTGGAGGCGCGAGCCGAAGTCAACTAAAGTTCGCCATCGCTGGGATGCGCCATTGCATCAACCAGCGGCGTCGCGCGTGAGTGCATTTTTCGCACCGCACCCGACGGGGCTCGCGGGGCCCGTTGCCCCAAACCTTCTCCCTAGTTGGTCCCTCGCTCAGTCGACATTTTTTGTCGACTGTCGTCCAGGAACCTTCCCGAGCGCGTGTCTCTTCTCTCGCCTATGTTAGCTCGCCAGTTAGTAAAATCACTTCCCCCGCAAGCTCCTCCAGTGCATATATAGAAGCGCAATGCTATACAAGAGGCGTCGCGGCATGACGTGACAGCCAGCAGCTTAAGCGATATAGCATAGCACTGCCATTCGATGCGGTTTTCATTGCAGTTCCCCCAATTCTTATTCTGATTGAAGCTTGCCGGCGTGTTTCTGCTTGATTGCCGCTTGCGAAACTCCTGCCATTTCTGTTGCTAGACATTAGATGATGCGGACGGAGTCTACCATCTGCAAAAATTACAGACTCAAGCTCTATCACCTGAGCATACACAATACGAAAAACGTCTGTGATAGCGTTGCCTTGGTTTTTATTGCATGCTTTCTAGTCGACCAGAACGAATTTGGATGCACTAGGAGAAGACAATGCACCACGTCAGTCTTCGAAAACATGAGAAGCCACGGATATGAGTGGGTATTGTCCGTTATAAATATTATCCACTTCGGCTTCCAAGGAACAGAAGCCACGATGCTCCTCGAAAAGACACGATGAGGAGAGACGGAAAAGCGTCGGTCTTTGAGCTATTCCCTCTTTCTCCCTCTTCCTCTCTCCTCCTTTAGCTACTATGTTCTAGTGCAGAGCTAGGTCTTAGTCTTTGGTTAGTCGCCGTCTAGTCCACGCACAGTGTCATCCTCTTCGGCTTGCAAGGAGCAGACGAAAAATTTCCTGTGAAGACACAAAAGGCCTAAACATTGAGGAGAGACAGAAAAGCTTTCGGCTTTGCTGTAGACGCACCGGCGCCGTCCGCTTTTTCATTCCACCCATTTCTCGTGTGAACGGTCTACCAATGTGGAGAGCGTTTTCGTTTTCCGTTTAAAAGTGTACGGTGCGTGATTATTCTTTTCGGCTCTATCTATCATCGAGTGGCCGTCGACCATTTCTATTGTTAAGTCGGCAAGTGTTGCCCTAAGGTTGTGACTTCGGTAGTTTCCAAGTGTTCGCCTCGGTCTCGTTTTCTTCATCGATATGACCAAAGCCATAGTCTGAACCGATGACAACGAGAGCAGTCGCGTCTTGTGTTCGTCGCCCATAGCGGGATCTTTGTTTCGAAAGAGGTGCGAAGTTGCTTCTTCTGGAAGTTGAGCAAAGTCGAAGTTCTGGCCGTTTGTTTCCATGCTGAGAATTCTTGCACATGAAAAACGAGAACGATGAAAATCCACAGTGCGAACTTTGTCAACTTCTTCCGGCTCAAGGCCGCGCAACAATAAAACGACTTTAGCAGCAATGTAATGCGACTTGAGTCACCCCGAGAATTCCTCTTATTGTGTCCGGAACATGGGCAAATCTATCCTCTGCTCTAGGTCGAGCCGGATGCTTTGTTCATCCTTTTTGTCAGTATCTTTTCTTTCCGTCATGAATCTACTCGGTCAAAGGGACAGTGATGCGAAGTCGGCTCTTATTCGCACCACTATCAGCACTATAATAAATTTGACTAATTCAGTAGCTGTTGGACCATTCGAACACAGACTGTTAAGTCGCGTCTAGTTTCTCGGTGAGAAACGCCTGAGAGTGATAAAGTTTGCACAATTGCACTCACAGCCTGAGGCTAATGATCTCTGGCTCCTTTGATCCCTGTGGATGTTCATTGGGGTTGCAAAGGGGGAAGTCTCAGCTTCATCATTGGGATATCGTGTTGCATGGGGAAACTTTCATGTGCTTCATATGGAAACGCTTATGCTATCATCATTGACTCATACGATCGCCCTACATTGATCCCCATCATTGGTCAGAACTTGACAAGACGTTATGGACCTGACTACAGCTATGGGACATTCGTCACTTCTGCGATCTGAATACGTTGAAGGTCCCTTGCTTGATGATCACTGATTTTGATATCATATGCGTTTAGGTCTGTAGGTTCTCTTTGAGATCTTTCCTGTGTTGCTTTGTCCTTGACTGTGTTGAGGGGCTTGAGCCACAAACGAGAGAGAGAGAGGAGAAGCCAGAGACACCCGCGCGACGGTAAACCCGTCGGGCGTTTGGATGGTGCTCCGGTAACCTTTTGCCTGGCGATCTTGGTCATTTTGATGATCTTCATCCTTGTGATCTTTGTGATTCTTCTAGGATTATGACCTTGACCAACACCCCTCCTCAATCGTTGCGTGTCGAAGTCCCTAGTCTTCTGGACTACCACGGAAGTCATATCTCCTAACTAGTCTTCTATGGCTACGGTATACTCGACTAGAAACCAAAATAAACCGAATATGCTACACTATAGTAAGCTAAATCATCCCCATCCGTTTCATCGTCTGAGGGATCACGATCATCATACTCAACTTTATGTATCGGATTATCTATATGGTGAAGGAGTAGGCTACGTTGAGACGAGCTACGTTCTAGCTTAGTTAAGTCATCAGCCTTCATTAAGTTAGTTGGACAGAAAGTGAAACTATCTTACTGGCCGCATCACGCGCACGCAAGTAGCGAAGTGCATAATGGCGACTCTTTGGGCGTGTGTCAGTTGCTTTAGCTGTTGTGATCGCGGATTGGTTGTCGATCCAGAGCACAGCATTGTCCAAAGAGGGAGACAAGCCGTTCTGTGTGTGTACCAACTGAGTTGGTAGAGGCCTATAGAAGTCTGCAAAGTCATGCAGTTCACTAAGCGCGATTGTGTCAGAAGCTGCAATATATTCACTTTCAGCCGTAGAATAGGCGCGGACAGTCTGTCGGTTACTTCTCCAAGCGATTGGAACGCCTTTGAAATACATGATCGACCCACTTGTGCTTCTCATAGTCTTTACGCAGTTGGCGAAGCCTGCATCACTAAAGATATTCACCTCTGGCATATCTCTGCCTTCAGGTAGTAACTTTGAATAGATTCTATTGATTTCTTCTTCTTGTTCTGGTGAGTATTCCAGTCCTTGGTCTCTCGTTGTCACCAGATACTTCAGCACTTTTCTGGCTGCTTTAGCCATTCTTGTTGGCGCGGGTTTGCTGACATGTCTAGCCAATGCTGCCACCGGTACAGAAATGTCCGGGCGCGCGGTTACAGCTACCCATAGCAAGGCACCAACGACCTCACGAAAGGGATACCTTTCGACTATCTTGGTCCCCTCCTCAAGAAAAGCCGACTCGTCAAAATTGGGCGAGTAAACCGGTTTTCCGACATCAATTTCGAACTTCTTTGCGATTTTATCAATGTGCTCCTCCATATTAAGCCGAAATGTTCGAGCTTCACGGCAGTAGTACACGATAGCACCTAAGAAGTCGAACCTGAGCCACGTTTGACCCCAAGGGGTTGGAACGGACTCCACATCAATCGCACGGCCAGGGGCACGCGAGAAGATGAGTTCTAGTTCGGTCTTGAGCTCATCAAGATCAGGACCCGTTGCAAGATTGTCATCGGCATAGACTGACATCTTGAGGAACTTCCCAGGTACCTTCGCGCTCGGCTTTCTCCATAAGCCTGGCGCAGAATCACACGGCTCCCAGCCAATACTGGCTAGTATGTCGTGATATTTCTTGAACCATGCTCGTGGTGCGTCCTTCTTGAGCTTCACGATCTCGCGTCCATGCTTCTCTGCCCAGATGGGTGGGAGTCGGCAGAGGACATCGCGATCGAGTTCAGCACTGAGGAACGCAGAATCTAAATCGAACGGGATCGCATAGTCCTGCTCTGACGCAGCAGAAGTCAGGAGCAGCCTATTAGCGGCGTGTGAAACTACGGGAGCAAAGGTGTTTAGCTCTCCTGAACGATCTAGATTACCGAGGACACAAGCGCGAGCCTTGTATCTTCCACATCTTTTGATAGTTAGAATTGTGGCAATTGGTAGAGCTTGTCGCGCGGTCGCAAGCTCCTCGTCAGAAGCTTCCTTCCACGTTTCAAAGGCTAGCAGTCTCGCATGCTCTTTGTCAATGACCTCCCGCCGCTTGTCGGCATCAGGAGACTTGAGCGCTTGAGCAACGGACAAAATCTCATATGATTCGACGAATTCCTCATCTTCGTCTAATTCACACATGCCACCTACTGCACTAGCGAACAGCGCCACACTCTTTCTCAGTTCTTCTAACTGTTTCTTTGTTCTTCGGACCCTGCTGCCTGCTTTGTCCTTCGCTCCTTTTGGTCGGCCACGCTTCTTGACGTGTGTATGGCGTTCGCCTGCCGCAACACGTGCTGGAGAAGGCGCTTTCAACTTAGACGGACTTAGCGGAGCAGATGTCTCGCGATCTTTCGCTTCAGCATTCCCCTGCTCAAGTGAAACATCTTTAGGAGAGTCAGCTGCGTTGGATTCCTCTACTTTATCCAGTGTCTCAATAAATAGTTCGTCGGAAATCGCGGTCGGTCCACCTGGAATGTGCTCCGTGCCAGAGAACCCCGATTGATGATCCAGCCTTTGCGCTGACTGTCCAAGCAAGGGGGAGCCCAGCGACGACGCGCCACTCTGCAGATTTTCCACTTCGTCATACTCAATGTAGACGCCCTTCTGATCTGGCAAAAGCCAATCAATATTCTTAGTTGGGTAATCCTCTCTGAACTTTACATCTAGGGTAGAGTATTCCGCCCATCGATGTCCAAGCTTGCAACGATCGCCATGAGCGAAAGTTCCAACCAACCAACCAGACGACTTCGGACAGAGTCCAAGGAAGACGCCGCGGCGATACTTGGCCGAGAGCTTGGGTGCAGGAGTGTTGGCGTGAATTTGTTCACGAAAGTAAACTAGACAACCAAACCGGCGGAGCATGCCGATTGAACTCTTCGACGAGTTTCTACCAGTCCTTTCTTCCAAGATTTCAATTGGACTCTTTCCATCATGTTGAGGCATTTTTGCGTAGTTATGCGGTAAACGATCCCAGCAGTCACCAGCGTACTCGACGCAGTCACACCAGAGGCGTTTATCAACTTTAGTCAGCATTGTGCGAACACTGCCGAACAAAGTCGGCATAAAACGTTCGCAGGTCCCATGCGTCTCCGGATTATAAGGAACAGCCGGACTGTCTGAGACTCGCAGCGATTGCATAACTTTGGTCATGTCATCACTGCCCAGGACAGGTTCTCCATCCCTCCGGAGGAACCACGCTACCTTGTCGCCAAGTGATGAGGCGTAGTCCTGGCGAATGCCTTTGATGACTTCTTCTATTTCCTCCACGCAGTCACTTTTCAGCTTAAGCGGTCGACAGAACACCTTCTTAATTACATCACAGATGATCACTAATACGCATCTCTTTGACCTGACTGGTACGGGTTTGATTCCAACAGCAAAGTCGATTGCTAGTAGCTTCAATGGTTCAGGTTTGTAGTTCGAAGTATCTCGAGCTTTTGCATGTGGTGCGCGTTGGCCTTTATGTAGATCACACGCAGGACAATTTACCTGGAGGCCATCTATATGAAAGTGCCCACATCTTCTATGAAGTTCGAGTCTTGTAAGATAACAGCTACTGACTCCTTCTTCTACTGTTGAACAGATATAACCGCTATCAGTCTCTTCTTTAAATAAGTTGCGTGCAAGTATGGGAAGCTGCGAGAGTGGGCGACTTCTTATCGGTATGGCCTGGCCGGTGTCCGTATGTACGAGACAACCGCCTGCGCCTTTGAAGTTGAACTCCCATCCTAATTGCGAGCAGTTCCCCTCACCTAGCCAAGGCATAATACGATCTAAGTCCTTTGGTAGTGAATCATAATAAGCACCATACTGGAGCCCTAGGATGTTTGACTTCAGTTTTCCTACTCTTCCGTCTTTACTTCCAGCGCTACCAGTAATCCTACGAATTCTCGTAGTTATTTCACTAAAATCGTCTTTGTGTCTTGAAAGATATTTGTTTGCACAACTATCAACCAGACTAACTTCTTCTCTTGTAGTAATGAAACTAGTTGAAAGACTCTGTCCCACAAGTTTTACCTCCCCAATGTTACTTATGTTTATTTCTTCGCCCTCATCTTCATCCAAGTTCAGCGAGCAAAATCCACTTTCCACTGGTTCTGCAGCTCAGCTCTGCTTTCCGCCGTTGAGAGCTTGGAACAGCTCCGCAACTTGAGACATGTGAGCCATGCCGTTACCCTTTCCACCTTTACCCGTAACGCTACTAGATTGGGACTTGGTGTCCCAGTTCCAGTTTGCCTGGTTCTGTGGATTCTTCCAACAAGACGCGGATTTGTGGCCCGGTTTGTTGCAGATCCAACAGACTGGGCGGGTGTCTTGTTTTCCAGAACCTTTATTATTTTTGTTCTGCGGTTTTCCTTTGCCGTTCGAATTGGAGGCATAGACCTCGGCGGCGATCTTCTTCTTTGTGTTTGCCTTGAAGCGCTTGAGAGCACTTTTAGACAGAAAGATCTTACCACCTTCATTGGCCTTTTCCTCGTCGTCCTCTTCTTCGCGAGAACGTTTATTCGAGGTTTCCTGAACATTGACCGGGAACGCCTTCCCGAAGGAATCGTTCTCAACTTTGTAGGTTCCCTCCTCGATCAACGTCGCAAGACGCTTTTCAAGTCGGTCTCCAATCTGGTCAAATGTCAGACCATCTTCTTCCTGCATGCGTTCGATCGTTGCCTTGAAGTTCTTGCAGAACAGCTCGGGCAACTTCTGTAGCAGTGCGCCACTCTGTTGGTCACTTTCTGGCACTCCTGCTTCCGGCGGGTACACGGTGGGCGACTGGTTCATGATGTCTCGGACTTTCGACGAGAATCCCGCGACATCTGCAGGCTGATCCGCGTTGTGGAACTTCAGCAAACCATCCGTAGGCGGCTTTACTTTCATCCGCTGTCCCTGACGGTTGTTTTGGTCGAAGTGTCCTACATCACGAAGGAGCGCAACAACCTCACCTGCATCCATCGCATCCACCTGACCACTGTCGTTCTGGTTGTTGATGAACGACGCGGCGGCACCTTTCAGGCTACGAATGATCGCGTCTTTCAGTTTGCGCCACTTCTGCCGAATTGTTTCCTCCCGATTGGTAACTCCTTGAGGGATACCGTGAGGAGCTGCCGGAATGCCGACTACATTCGTGTAGTTTTGAAGCAGGCCGAGACGGCTAGCCTCCTGACGTATGGCGTGTTGCCATGCTCGCCAGTCGGACTTCTGTCCGAGTTTCTTCGAAATTTCTTTCGCATCGCAGGACATTTTGGCAAGTTGTTTCTAGATGGATTCCTACTCTATACCAAGCTCAAGGGTCAAAGTAGTGTTGGACCATTCGAACACCGACTGTTAGGTCGCGTCTAGTTTCTCGGTGAGAAACGCCTGAGAGTGATAAAGTTTGCACAATTGCACTCACAGCCTGAGACTAGTGATCTCTGGCGGCTTTGATCCCTGTGGATGTTCATTGGGGTTGCAAAGGGGGAGGGCTCAGCTTCATCATTGGGATATCGTGTTGCATGCCATGGGGAGGCTTTCATATGCTTCATACGGAAACGCTTACGCTATCATCATTGACTCGTACGATCATCCTACATTGATCCTCATCATTGATCAGAACTTGACAAGACGTTATGGACCTGACTACAGCTATGAAACATTCATCATTTCTGCTATCTGAATACGTTGAAGGTCCTTTGCCTGGTGATCACTGATTTTGGAACCATATGCGTTTAGGTCTGTAGGTTCTCTTTGAGATCTTTCTTGTGTTGCTTTGTCCTTGACTGTGTTGAGGGGCTTGAGCCACAAACGAGAGAGAGAGAGAGGAGAAGCCAGAGACACCCGCGCGACGGTAAACTTGTCGGGCGTTTGGATGGTGCTCCGGTAACCTTTTGCCTGGCGATCTTGGTCATTTTGATGATCTTCATCCTTGTGACCTTTGTGATTCTTCTAGGATTATGACCTTGGCCAACAGTATTTCAATAGTTCAACTCGAGAGGAGGGGATAGAAAAACCCCCGCCAGATCGAGGGGCTGCCGCCTCGCGATCTATGCTCGGACTGAGTTGCTTTGCCTACGCTGCGCGGGTGAGTCTCGGCTGCGAAACAAAGCGGGCCGGCGCTGCGCGGGCGAGTCGGCACCCCTGCGCGCGCGAGTCTGCGCTGCGCGAGTGGGTCTGTCTGTGTGGCGCGAGAGAGGCGGCGCGGCGTGGGCGAGTCAAGTCTGCGCGGTGTGAGCGAGTCAAACCGGCGCTGCGCCAGTGGGTCTGCGCTGCGTGGGCGCCTCTGTTTCGCGCGGATGGGTCTGCGCTGCGCGGGCGAGTCTGTCTGCGCTCCGTGGGTGTGCCTTGGCTGCGTGCGTGTGTCTTGGCTGCGCGACTGAGTAGAGCCTGCGCCGTTTGACTGAGTCTGTGTTGCGTGAGTGAGTCGCCGCCGTGCGAACGGGTCTGCGTGCGCTGCGCGGGCGCAGAGTCGCCCGCGCGTCGCGCGGGCGACTCTGCGCCGCGTGAGTGGGTTTGTGCTGCGCGCGTGAGTCTGCGCGGCGGGGGCGCGTCTTGTCTGCGAGCGTTGGCGCGCGAGCGAATCCGTGCTGCGTGAGCGAGTCCGCGCTGCGTGAGTGAGTCTGCGCTGCGTGAGTGCGTCCGCGCTGCGCGAGCAAGCCTGCGCCGCGCGAGTTATTCTGCGCTGCGTGAGCGAGTGCGCGCCGCGTGGGAAAAAGTTTCTGATTTATTTGCTTTGGCGCCTTTCTAGGCCAGGTGTGTGTGTGTGGTGTTCGAGGCAGATTTTTAATATTGCTTACTAGTAATCTTAATTTTTGGGGTGAGTTACATGAGATATGTTGGATATTGAAAACCATGAAGTAGATTTTTTACAGTTTATAGATATAGTGACGCTTGTACTTTATCTATATCGTGAGTGTATGGCGAAAGAGGCCGCGATTTCTTGTGCACACCTCTGTTGTAGTTGCTTTTTGCCCCCCATCACCATCCTCTATCACCCCCACCCTTGCTTTTCGTTTTCCTTTCTTTTCAAGTTTCTGTTTCTCAATCAAGCTCGTGCATTAGCAGAAAGCGCATTCTCTTGCGAAGGTTTAGGATTCGTCTTCACACGGAGGTATGTCGACAGGAGGACGCGGAAGGTGTCCCTCTCGTGACGGGATTTATTATGTGTGACTATGTGTGGGACTAGTAGTAAGACTGGAGTCTCGATGGCTGAGAGATCCCCCGCACAAGAACTGACATTTAATTATTTCCTTGAAGTCTGGAATCCACTACAATCCAGTCAAACTCTTGATCTACCCTCCCCAAAAAAGGAGTTCGAAAAGTGTGCGTCTATGGGAAAAGAAAAAAAGAAAAGAGCTCGCTTCAAACGGTAGTTGTCTCTGATAAGTGTACAGGCCAACGCCTACAACACTAAGCCAACTGCGCAGTTGGCTTAGTCGTTTAGGCGTTGGCCTATACCCTTATCAATCAAACTACCCAGGGTTCGAGTGCCGGCAATATCAAAAAAAGTGGCAGAGTCATCGCATAAGTGGGCAACTAGTCGCCGGCTCTTACTTGTTGCTGACAACAGGGCGCAATCGAAAACCCTTTAGGTAGGTCCTACCGTAGGAAAAGAAGCTAGTTGGTAGAAGGAGAAAATGAAACGCTGAGCCTGCGCTTGAAGTATCTGGTTTGATTTTCCCTTTCCATTCTGCTGGTATCTTTGATTCTTGGAGAATATGCTGAAGATGCGCTTCTCGTTTCATGATTGAAAATTGTTCAATTATGTTCTCAAACCTAAAAACTATAGCCTTAAAAATACTAGCAAATGCAATACGACAAGGCGACATATGATATTGAAGAATGACCATGAGCATGACATACTGAATTTCGATCTGAACATGCTTATGCTAAATATATAAATGTAAAAAAGGTCGATGTCGAAGATCAGAACAGTTTAATGAACACTCCCCGACACTCCCCGGCGGAACAGAAGAGGAAGGCAAAGGGGATGTATTGAGAAGGAACCCGCTTGACTTTTCAAAAAACAAATATGTCCTGTGCGTCGTTCCGGACACCCCCTTGCACGCACTGCACGGTCGAGGTTCGGGCTTAGTTGAATACCTTGACTGTGACGCCGCGTTGGCTGAATACTGCATTGTGATTGTTCGAAAAGCAGGGCCGACGCTTATGGCTTGCGCCTAGTGTGCTGCAAGAGCCTTGCATCTCGCCTTGTCCCTTCTCTCTCGATACGACAAAGCTTCTATTCCTTAAGGCTGCTGCATAAAACTTACCCACTTTATTACCTCTAGTATAGAATAGTTTATAGAACGGATGTCGGATGGACTTGGATGGATCGGGTGGATCGATAGGATGGGCCCCCCTGAATCTTCCGATCCTACTTGAAATGATGGGAAGCCCATCCGTTCCATCCGATCCATCCCATCCTGGATCTGGCACCCCTACAGATTATGCTACTATATGCCTTTCGTTCCTTCACATACTCCCACTGTCACTTTTAATCTCCAACTTCTTTTTGAATCTCGATCGACAGCAAGAAACAAAGCCAACATGGAGGCCTTTTCTACTACTTCCCAATGCCATAGTATCGGATCTCGCAGAAGGCGAGCCGTCGAGTTCTCCCGAAAAAGGCCGTCCGATTTTTTATCGCTCCCTGGTGCAGCAGTAGTAGTTGCGTCGTTGAACTTTCCACCGTTTTGTGTGGTTTCTGCGAGGGAAGTCGGACATGGGGCCACGCCAGCTCTCGAATGGGAGCAGAGGGCGTACGGCGACGAAGACGAAGACAAAGATGAACCTGTGGATGCAACCGACATCCCAGAAGACGAAGAAGGAACACCGCACTTCGCCGCTAGATCATCGAGCGATCCACTGTCTCTTCTGGAGGAGAAGCCATACCCTACTAGTATGCACCCTCCGAGCCACAAGATGACCGAAACATTTGTTCCTGAAACGTGCCGTCTAAAAACACAAAATGAAAATAAACATTAAGTTTTTAAGCATTTCAAATCGCCAGCAATAATCTTCAAACTCGCTATAAGTAACCATAACGGGACTTATATGATTTAGGTGTATCCACAAATCTACAGCACTCCTTTGTAAAATTTGAGAACACTTTGAGCAAGAGAACCTTTTGGACAAAATGTTTCGGGTACCTAGTTTTCGATGGCTCGGAGGCATCGGTGTGATATTCGCGAACGCTGCAAGTAAAGACAGCTTCATCGAGACACGTGTGCGAGGATCAGAAGATGTAACAGAGACAATAGCAATACAGGAGGTGGCGAAATCATCAGAAATAATACAAGAGAAGTGGCAAGGCATCATAAGATTGTCAACCGGCGTGATAGAAAGGCTGGCCCAGGGGCAGGCATCATTTGCCTCGATAGACAAGCCATGGCTAGAAGAGGATCTAACAAAACAGCTGGATTGGATGAACCAAATCCAGTTTCAGCAAAAGGATCTAAACCTCGTAACATCTCCAAAGCGAAAGCACCTAGATGAAATACAAAAGCAGCTTGAAATGCTACAAACATCAATGAACAACCTCCTGAGACCAGAGCGGTGGAGCGTGCAAGAAGGCCAAGAAGGTCTAGTAGCAGCCCCTTAAGCGGCAGGTATTTGGTTTATCACGATGTGTTCCCCGTCTGTCTCCTCTTCCTCTCTCTCACCTTCCTCTCCAGTAGTACGTAGTGTTGTAATTCATTCTATATTTACTCATATATTATGTATAAGATATAATCCGACTTTTCCAGGTATTGGACGAGGAGATGTGCCGCCATAATGAGTCCAACTCTGGAGTCGAGAAACCAATCGTCATCACATTTACCTTGACTGTTCCTGCTGACCTTGGCTTCCTAAAAGATCGCTCTGGCCAGTCTCTGACGCTGCAACAGGCGTTAGAAGCTCTTCAAGCAGGAATAGAGCCGCGAGACTTCTTTGTGAGTCAAGACTTTGAAGTGGAATGTAATTATGAATCCGAGGGGAGCGTCAAGCTGCTCAGAAAGTTCCATCTCCGATTGGAATTCGAGAAAGACCGTAATGTCAACCTCAAGCTCGGGGTTGTAGAAGCTTCTGGTGCATAGAGCGTTGCATGCGAGAACACATTCACAGAAGTAGTAGAAGTTGCAGACATGACATGTACCATTTCACTTTTTCTTACTCACATCGCGGTCGTCTTGTTGGCTTGCGATGGTGCCTGTGGCCCATGGAAAAGCGCGGTAGCGCTCCTGGATCGTCTGGCGACTGTGTTTGTTCCGCTTTTCTCTTTGTAGTTGGATTATGGCAATGCCGCCCGTGCCTTCCACAACTTCACAAAAAGGAAGTCTGTCTCATCATTACGATCTGTCAGTAGTGCCAAGAAAGCGCAGGGTGTATAATCTGCAAAGTAAGTATGTAAATACGGCGACAAGGACAAAAACCCTCGGTGATTGTGAACACCACCCCTCGGTGTTTTTACATACGTTTCATTTATTTCGATCTTGCACCTCAGGCTAACACAGGAGCCCGATCAGAAAGGATTACTTCTCAGTCCTAGAAGAAGACCGCATGTCATCTAAAAAGATCCGGATAATTGGTAGTTATCGACAGAGGCTCTGTCTCGCACAACATCGGACTGTTTTTGAACACGAGATGGAGAGAGGACTCCGCAGTTTTGTTGTGAATGAAATAATCCCTCCTGCGCCAACCATGCTTGCAACCCCGAGAACATCCTAAGTAACCTTTTCCTGTAATCAGTCACTTATCGGACATCTTCGTATAGCGTTTCGGATTTCGACTGATTATGCATACCAACAATTCACGAACGAGGATTGAAACTGAATGAAAGAAGAGTATTCCTTTGTGAGATTTTATTTTGTCGAAATCTTCACTTCTGAAAAAACCTACTCACTGAAACCAAGCCTATTTCAATTCATCTCCCAAAATGAAAATATAGTGCATATTCCCATATGCGATTCTTCTTTTAACTCTCACTTCGGAGCAGAGTTTACAGACGTAATTCATATCCATTCCCATAAATAATTCACAAGTACTTTTTCTTCGTAGGTAGGTGATCTCGTACTGCACGACCAGACCACGTTGAGAAAATCAAGAAGACTCACACATTTCAACCTACTAGTACCCACGTCAATATGAATAATTCCTCACGACAATCTCCACAACTACTACGGTTCCATCGGATGTCTCAAAATCCTTCTCAGCGTTGTTTCTGAGTCCATTTTTGTGACCAAGGCACAGGCAGAGAGGAGATTTTGTCCGAAGCAAGTCTGCAGGAGCACACCGGTTTCATTCTAGGCGAGGCGAAGGCGCAAAGATTATATCCAGTTTCCGTGACAGCAAACTGCTTCGCGGACGACGGTCACATGACTACCGGAATCAATAAGGAATCATTTTCAAGATGGTGGCTCATACTCGCAATAGTGGAGCCAGTGCCGGAGGGCTCAGCTCATCTTCCTCGAGCCAGAAGGATAACCAGCATGGCGGCCTCTACAATGGGGGACACATCCCGCATGGTGGAAGCTCTCACACAGCGTCCAATGTTATGGCCATGCTGTCCAACCTACTGTAGGTACTTGTTCGTCCAGAAGACTGTCGGATCTATGAAAATATGTAAGTAGCTGTTTTTTACTAAGTAAAAAACTTTGTCAAAATCAATACAACCTCAAAATTGTTCATGATCATCACCTTCCCCACCTATTGTTCCAAAATAAGAGCAGAGTATCCAAATTAATACCGTTTCACATGGCTTTTCTTCTAATGATCAGTATTTCACCCACGTGCCCTCAGGGCCCACCAAGCATTCGCATGCACGCGAAACCATCGAAGTGCTTCCTGGACGCCTCTTCTGGCGAGCAGAGCCGAAGCATCACATGACCACGAGAAGCTTAGCTGAAAATGCTTATCATCACCCCCAGGCCCAGGGTAACTTTAAGGCAAGAACCTCGAGCGACGACAAAGATCTTCACTCAGTCGCGAAAGGACTGGTGGCGCGCGGTCTTGGATCACTTATGGTTGCACCGCCGCAAATTCCGCTGAGCGACAAGTGCGCGGTTGCCGCACGGAAAATCTTGGAGGAGATTCGGAGCTTCAAGCTCTTCCGATGTGAATTCGGACAATGCCCGGCTCTTCGCAGTGCGTTGGGCAACTGCGTGGACTCGCGCCTCACCTCTGACCTTCTGGGTATCGAGTGTTTCTGCTCAACGTGCCTAGCCTTCTCCCTGAAGCAGAGGCGCCTTGCTCGTGCGCGAGGTTCGGACTCGTCTTCGATGTGGTCGTCTAGTATCGTGCTTTCGAGCAACGAGAGTGCTGACGACGAATTGGTCTGCAGCCCCGTCCATGGAGACAACGACCCATCACGCTCGCCGCCTCAGGACTCCGAACCTTTACTACCAGCGCAAGGCTCCGGGAGAAAGTTCCGCTCCACAGCGGCGGCGTTCAAACGTATGCGAATCATCAAGCAACGGGACTCCGAGGCCTTCTTTGCCTCCTTGCTGACGCAACCGAAGAAGAACGCTGTTCCCGAGAAGGCTTCGCGCAGGAAGCCGCAGCGGTTGTTGGCAGGCGCAGGAGGTGGAGGTGGCAAAAAGCAAGTGCCTGGCGCGGACCACACCAGACTGCTGTGGGAGGTGTTCCTTTGAAACTACCGGTTCACATATCGTGGCCAGAAGCTCGCACGGCGCTGGTGGTATCGGTACCAGTCCCCCTCCAGGGCCTCCGCCGAGTGATACAGAAGGATGCTCGGCTTGCTGCTCATGGCAATGACACGCTCAGAGCGTACCACGAGGCGGTCGCACTGAAGGAGGAGATATTAGCAGACCCGGAGAAGTTTGCGCCCACCAAGATCCGACCACGGCGCAACAACTTGAAGAAGGCGGCGTCTGGCCCGGTTGCGCCACCGGGTGCAGTTATACCGTGAGTGTTCAAGTATCGAAATGTTGCGTGATGAAGGTGGGTGCGCTCATCGCCTAGCTTTTCGTTTGGTTCGGTGTGTGAGGTTGAGATGGATCTCGTTTTGAGGAGTTTACTTTACTTTTTTTGTAGACTTTAGGTCGAATTGACGTCGCCAGCTCCTCCTCTAATCGATCAAAAACGGGGAGCGGTAGGACACAGATGAGATGGCGCGTGTCGTCTTTCGCTTTATATACATGAGGAAATGCAAAAAAAAAAAACAAAAGCGTTAGCTTTTTATTTTTTTACATTCGTTCGATCTACTAAACATTCTAAGCCGTGGATCACCTGCTAAAATATTACTCCTCTCTGTTTCATCTCTTACTCTTTCTTGTTTCTCTCTTTGGCAAGAATTGCTCTCGTTGAGGTTTTTAGGCTTTTGGGTTTTAGGTCGTGGCCTCCATCTCGTTCTTCCTTGCCTCCAATCATTTGAAGCAGATCCGGCCCCCTTTCTTAGTATCCAGGTTTTCTTCTTTTTTTTTGGGCTTGTCTTGTAACCTTCAGTATCCTTTTTCGTATCCATATAGTAGAACAGTTTCCTAATATTAGATAGTCTGTGGCTTCCCCATTTGTCTTTTTCTTGTTGACTGTGAAATGCACTGATGTTTTCTGAGCCCAGACTTCTGGAGCCCTGGCCGCTGCCTGTCGCAAGCCAGAAATCTCTGAATCTTGATCTTAATCTTAGCTCTGTTGAAGACGATAATGATAATCGGTCTCTTGCTTCTAACCTTCGAAATTTTTATGTTAGATTCTCACATTTGTTGCATGTCCATGCGTGGTTAGAAGGAGAAGTAGACCAACAAACATCCGCGTCTTACTTCCAGAAGGGAATTATAGCTGAAAACGAGAGGCATAGCAAGCGTTTATCGGTCAGACTCGGAAGTTTCGTTTTCTGTTTCCCACAAGGGCATCGGAATGTTTTTGAAGACGAGATGACAGTGTGACACGACATGGCTTCCCACCGACTTTTGATCTCAAATTCTTCCTACCCCTCTCCTGCATCCACAAGAAGAGTAAGATTTTGAGTAACCTTTCGACCTTCGTAGAACGTGTCGCATTTCCACGTGATCTACATTTCATTTTCAACTATTTACGGAAGACGACGAGAGATAAATGGATACAATATGCATAGTGACCTTTTTTCTTGATGGATTATTTCTACGATCGACGTCATGGACGAAAATATCACTTTTCAAGAGACCTATACCAATTTACCGAAACCAAAAGAACTAGAATGAACAAGTATATTTTTATAAAATCTCCTCCCAAAAAAAAGTAATGCATATTCATTCCCGAGTAGGATTCTTCTCGTAACTCTCGTTTCGGAGTAGAGTTTACAGACGTAATTCATATTCATTCCCATAATTCAAATTCACAAGTATTTTTTCTTCGTAGGTAATATCGTGCTGCACGACCAGATCACATTGAGAAAATCAAGAAGACTCACACGTTTCCTACTAGTACCTCCCACAACAACATCTTGAATAGATCCCCTACAATTGCCACAGCTACTACTTCTACTTTCCTCAATTGCAAGTAGATAGTATTAATGTGTTTTGCGACTCATGCAAAATCAACAACTATGCCCTTCTGATAGCACGACGACATCTACTTCTGCCTCCCAGCGTTGTTTCTGAGTCCATTTTTGTGACCAAGGATAAGGAACAAAGGATAATTTGTCCGAACCAAGTCTGCAGGAGCACACCATTATCATTCTAGGCGACGCGAAGGCGGAATCGCAAAAGTCTGTGACAACAAACTGCCTCGCTAACGACGGTCACATTTCACTATCAGAATCAATAAGGAGTCATTTTCAAGATGGTGGTTCATACTCGCAATAGTGGAGCCAATGCCGGAGCGCTCAGCTCATCTTCCTCGAGCCAGAAGGATAACCATGGACCCTACCAGCATGGCGGCCTCTACAATGGGGGACACATCCCGCATGGTGGCAGCCCCCACACAGCTTCAAATGTTATGGCCATAGTGATGCTCGAGCTCTTCTGTAAGTTTTTGTACTTGTTACGAACTAGCTACGGAAGGACCTGTGCCTGTTGGCTGTTGGCTGTAGCTGTTTTCTACTAAAAAACTGAAACTGTGTCAAGACGCCAAAATCAATATCAAGAACAACTTCAAAATACTGTTTCTGTCGATCACTAGGACTAGCTACTTCCTCTTCATCTAATTTTTGCGGTAGCACTTACGGCAGTGTCGGAAGTCCTATCGGCGGAGCTAATAGTATGGCAGTTGGGAATCAGTATTTCACCCATGTGCCCTCAGGGCCCACCAAGCATTCGCATGTACGCGAAACGATCGAAGTACTTCCTGGACGCCTCTTCTGGCGGGCAGAGCCGAAGCATCACATGACCACGAGAAGCTTAGCTGAAAATGCTTATCATCACCCCCAGGGTAACTTTAAGGCAAGAACGAACTTCTACACATGATTATACTCCAATACCCAAATCCACACACCTGATTATACTTGATCATCCAAGCAATCCACATCGATGGATCCTGAATTAGTCATGATATTATAGAAGTGATCACCATCAATGCACGACGGCGACCACGACCTTACCGATTCTTATTTATTTAGAATGGACTAGCAGTAGAACTTCTCGAGTTGTTTCTTGACCACCAAGCTGCTGTTTAGACTATCGTCTTTATTGATAAGTTAGAGACCTCCTCAGTCAAGTACACCAGAGACAGACGGAATATTGTTGGAACGGTATGCTCAGGCATCTTGTTCACAGCAAAGTCACAAGATGAAGATATTAGCGTTACTAGAATACATAGATCAATTCTGGCGAACCCGAGCTCTAATAGCTACAACTTTCGATTGTTGAATACGCCGAACGAGGTGGGCTACCGATTCGAAAGCGACCTCGATATCTGCTATCAGGCGTTTGCCAAGGACTTTGGTCCCCTTAATCTTGCGGTTATTTGGCGCTATTGCAGACTTATGGAACAGGTACTCTTAGGGCTTAGGCAAATCGATGGTGTACGTCTTGACTTGCAAAGATCGAGGTTTCAGAGCTCTACGTTCAAAGACATCTTGAAATCTCAGATCTTCATGAACAACATTTACTAGGTGATGGAGATGGACACGAAGACCGTGACGCATCAGTGCGACACCAGCGATATCATCCGGATGACCAATAGTGTCTTTCTGATATCAGCCTACTGCATAGTGATGGAAGGGAAAACCGCGAATGATTAAGGCCTCCCACTAGTGACTAGACAATCCTTCATAGTGATGGAAGTAGTAGAATTAGAAAAGCTGTTCGTCTCAATCTTCACCAAGCACTAGCTCTTCCTCTTCTGGTTCTGCTTCTGGTTGTACAATGTCAATGAATCATAGACCTAGAAGACTAAGAAGATGTTGGAATATAAGTAATCATTTTTTGAGCTTCTTCTAATCTGGAATGTACAACAAATTCAAGCATCTGCGAGAATATTGGGTGCCTTACCGGGACGCCTCCTCATGCCCGTCCATTTTTGACCTGGACATGCTTAGTTGCCTCGAAGGTCTCGAAGTCGGAATCAAATTAGGCTGGTTCGTGTACTTCAAAAATCTTGATTTTCATTGTAGATTACTTGCTTTACGGTTCATTTGTTGTACGAGGTTTCTTCTAGGTCAGTTTTTTCTTCTGAGCTACACTCAATCGAGACCGAGGACTACGCCTTATTCTCGCAACTTGAAGAAGAGTCATGTCTAATGAAATTCTTCACTGTCAATTCTCTTTCCTACACTCTTTCCTACACCTGCTATTAAACATCTTATTTTACGCAAGAACGATCTACATCACGCCGATGCATCATTTTCACTTTCAGGTACAAGGACTTCGATGCCGATGAGTATGAGCATTACGAAAAAGTTGAGAGCGGAGATTTGAACTGGATCATCCCTCACAAGATGCTAGCATTCGCAAGCCCACAAAACAAGAGCCGGGTAATTTTCGTCTTCTCTTTTTTTTGTAGTGCTTGAAAAAAATTAGGTAGAAGTTCTCCTCTTGACCTGTGAGGTGTTTGCCAAACAACAACTCTGATACAAGTAGCTACAAGAAGTCTCACGCGGCATATAGACCGACGTCGATATTGATATGCAACATCGATCAAACCATTCTCGATGTTGAAGAACTTTGAAGTCGTATAGTACCCTCAATAAATCTCCACAGGACGCCGATGGTTACCTCACATGGACTCCAGAGGGATACAGCCCGCTCTTCAAGAAGTGGAACATAAACCTAGTAGTGCGCCTGAACAAAGCGACGTGCTACGATAGAGAAAAGTTCATTTAAGGCTCAGGAAATCCCTCTTGTTTGGTGTAAAGTCATTGTTTATCTCTCTGCACAATAGATAAGAACAAGGAATTGAATTGCTTTCTTGATTTCGTTTCGCCATTACTAGGCTAGATAGTAGAACTAGTACACAGAGGACACAACTACTTTTATGATACGTGTCCACGTAGGGCGAGGAGGAGCTGAGAAAAAAGAAACTCCAAGAGTGAACAGAAGTTGTCGCCGACTCTAATGTCTCAAGAACGGGGTAAAGCATCTCGACCTCTATTTCAATGATGGAGGTCTTCCGCCAATGGAGCACCTCTACGCATTCCTCCACGCTAGCGAAACAGAAAAAGGCGGTGTTGCAGTAACAACATATTCGCTTCTAGGAATACATTATTGCTAACTAGATTGGAAAGTTCTCAACCGATTGAGTGAAGTCGTTGCATATTTCTTTCGAATTCATCTTCAACCTTCAAGGTTTGTTACTTAGGTAATTCACTAGCACTACTGATCATTGTTTCGTTCTTTTTCCATTTCTTACATAGGTTCACTGCAAAGCCGGCCTCGGGCGAACGGGAACGCTTATTGGTGCGTATGTGATGAAGCACTACAAAGTGCCAGCACGAGTGTTATGGCTTGCAAATTGTAGCCTATAGAAGCTTTTTCATGATCATCTTACTCTAATGATATTAATTTTGATTTTTCTTTGGATATGTGGTTCTTTGGACCGGGCTACAAGATACTCATAAGTAAGTAAAAGATGACATCACAATGACTTCTGTTTCTAGTATACTTTCGCAGCGGACAATCTTCATTAGGGAGGTGCATTGGGGGAATTATGTCCATATAGAGAGCAACGCGAAAGGAGCTGTCATTCCTCGGCCTCTCTGCTCTTCGTAGCTCTTCCTGGCTCTGCCTGGCAGGCTCTGCTCTTTCGCGCTACAAGATACTCTAAAGTAAGTAAAAGATCATGCATTCTTTCTCGACGGTTTCCTGGTGTTCTCGAAACTACCATTGATTACCTCTTTATTCCTCGTAAGCTAGTACAACTTGTACCTCGTCCTCTAACTACTTTTATCGCTTGGAATCGTTTAGCGCGTCCGGGAAGCGTCTTGGGGCCTCAGCAGCAGTTTTTGTGCGACATCGAACCCCTGATGTTCAGTTTGCCGAGTCACCTTCCGGAAGTGATGGCTTTCCGACCAGGACCAGGTCATCCTATCCGAGTGAATCCTAATTTAAGGCGAGTTTTGCAGGGTGGTGCTGGTAGTTCAAGTTCCAAGATTTACTTAGATGACTAATTAAAATTAGATTTAGAGCCCGTCGTTAGTTACCTAGCTTTAGAATTAATCCGTCGTTACAGTGTGAAGAGCAGTTTTTGGATTCAATTGCTAAGAATGGAAGGTACATATTCGAGAAAACGAGATTTATACATATTAGTTCCTAACTAAAATCACCGTCTTCTATACATATAGTTCTTCTAACAAGTCCGGCTCTGCAGGCAGCTATTGCCAATAACCCTTCGGTTTCGAGGACCAGCGTGGTGGAAGGAAGTAACGTAGCCGGCTCGAGAGAAGTCAGTCAACAGTCTCCGCAAAACATTAAGGCGAACGTAATCTGAACAGGAATAATAGGACTGAGGATCGATTTGGAGGCCACAAGAACTCAGATATGATCCATCGTCATCCACCTCATTGTTGTACCTGATTTCCGAGAACAGAATAGATCATTTTCAGTTGGAACTATTTGTAAGACTAAGACCAAGTAGGATCAGTATAGTGCGTTTACGTAGTCAAACTGGACTCACCTTGTACTTTTGCGGGAAATTGTAGACCCGGGTACCAAAAAAAAACTCCCGCGATTGCTTGCATGAATGAGTGGATGAATGAATGAAAAGAGAAGTAGATGCAACAGATCCTTCATACAGACGTTCACCTATTTCTAAGACTAGCAAGCCGACTCCCGCTGGAAGCAACAAGGCATCACAGGAAGAACAAACCTCGTCTCAGTCGCAACAGAGAAATCAGAGTGGCGGCAACAAAAAGTTCTACGGAGCAGGCGGTAATGCGAAAAACAGCAAGAAAAACCCATCCACAGTCGACCCGAACATCGAACAACAGGTAGTCTTATTTATTATGTGGCAGTCTCAGACCCAGCACTCCCAGTTGTTAGCCTGCGGTAAAAACAATTTTTGTTAATAACTGCGCATGACAGGAGACCACCAGCATATTGTAATCGAAATTCAATTATCACAGGGCCAAGGCGAGTGGCTTCTCTCGCAAAAGAAGCGTGCGCAGGGAATGAAGACTAGTTACTCGGCGGCAACACCGGGAGCATACACGACATCCGGATAGATGTCGGGACTCGGCAAAACGGTCGACTCGTTGGATTACTTTTATTAAGTTTAGTGATTTAAGTAGGTCAAAAGATATAGAAAGTAATGGGAATTCGTTTTTTAGTTACGTATCTTCGTGTTGAATCGTAGGAAGGACCGGGAAAATCGCAATGGCCAGAGGCCACTGTGCATTAAACTACGTATTATTGCCCTCGATATTAGTGGTTGTGTATTTCCTGCGCAGTGGCAGTGGGGTAGTCCGCTTTTTATTTTATTGCTAAACAGGGAGGAATTCGAATTTTCTTGCCCTTTTTTGATGTGATTCATGATTTCATGTTCGCAGTCAGTGTGCATATTATTGTTGATGGGTCCCGATGATAATCTCAGAGTTCGCATAGTAGCCGTAGCAGTAAATAAAGTGGGCGGAAAGTGGGGAATTCGAACGGAAGCTCAATCATATTTTTTCGTGACGTAAAAACTTCTTACGATTTAAGGTCATACCAAGGAACGGTTGGACAGTCCTGTAAAAAAAGAATTAACGTAGTAACCATGCTAAAGACATATGATAATCTCCAAAATCTTCTGATTTATATACTTCTACTTACCCTTGAGGACAGTCAAGTCTTGACTAGTATTATAATGAAGAAAATCAAAATCTTCAGAAAATGCACCATGACGTATATTTAGCTTGTAGTTGATCATCTGCCGTGCTCGCATAGTTCTCGTAAATTTTTCATTTCCAACATGCATAACATCAATCTTCACACTTAAAATGTTACAGCAGCTCATGTATTATTGATAGGAACATCAAGATCAAAGAAATATGAAAGCAAAAATTGTCTGTCACGAATTCGAGTCGAGTAAACCTTGTTACCCCAAATTGGGGGTATCCACGCACTAAACTGAGAAGTACTAGTTGTCTACAAGATTGCCTTCACTTGTCATTATCGCTCGACTTCATGTTGAAACATTCGTACTTAACGCACTAGTAATCAATTCGTTGAATTGATTCTTTTACCAGAATTAGCATTTTTCTCTCATCTTAGCTATCAGTTACACTTGTTGTCATCTATTGTTATTATCTATCATGTCTAAGTTCAAAGTAAGAGTAGATAGGATTGTGATCATGAGGTTTAAATATAGAAATTCATGGCATTCAAGACCTGAAACGTTGATTAATATTGGAAGTTACACCAATAAGAGTGTTTAGGAGGTCAGCATAGTGTTATTATCCACCGCTTTATTTCTTCTTTGTTTGTATGGTGATTGAGACGTCGACTTATCATCATTACGATTAGTGTCGGTGATTCATTCCTTCACAACCAGCAACAGTCGGAGGGCTGTCTTCTGCGGCGTCGAAAATGCAATGCGGTACTCCAGGTACAAGACTGAGGCTGCCCCCGGAGCTCGCGGCATTTCAGGTGGACGCTTTGCATCTTACGCCTTCTCTCAACAACCAATAAACAACTGAAGGATAGCAGTAGGTAGTATAGAGGAGGACGTGCTGCCAGCGACAAGATCCATATTAACTACCATTGTAAATATAGTTTCGATGATAGCGTCTGTTTATCAGAGTAACTTACATGATAATCTTACTCAATCATAATATGGACTGTCATCTTCACGACAATGCATCAATTATACAGCTGTTTGCTCCATTTCCTATACATTCCGTTTGATCTTCTTAACCATGGTCATCCTCATTGAAGATTGTCATTAGCAATGAAAAGCATGTAAAAAAAGGTACAGACTTGTACAGAAACCAGCACCACGAGAACCAGTCTACTTACCAATTAACTGATATTCAACATGATTCATAGGAATCAGATCGATAGCACATCGGGAATGCAATGGTTGAAAAATTAGATTTATTTCACTGAGATCAACCAAGAACATCAACTCACTCATCTACTTTCTGTATTCGACTTTGGTGGAACGAGCAAGCTGTTCCATTTTATTTTCTTGTGGTTCTGTAATGCAAGCATATTAGTTTGGTGTGATAAGGCGATGGCTAATAACTATCGCTCGCATCTAGTTTTTATTCATCACTTCTTACCAACGAACTGAAACTATTATTTAGTTTTACAAAAGAAACTGATCGTGTAGAAATTTTTAATTTTGATGAATTTATCCATGAACAAGAGCTATCACTCCAGTGGTATTGAAGATCGCTTTGTTACTCAACATGGGTTGCCTGCAGTTAGTTGCGCGGTTGCCTCAACAATGAGGGTTCCTTGTACTAGTTATCCGCGTCTTCATCTCAGAAGATCGGAATTCAACAACACAGTAGTTGTGAGGACCTGTACAAAATCGATTCATCAACTGTACCCTACAAAAGCAACTCTTGCTTGTGCATAGCCAGCATGCTGTCAGCAGCCCGATGAGCCTGAGAACCAGATTTAATGGAAATTCACCTACATGGGAAATAAAATCAGACGAAGTACAAAGAATATTGATAATGTTGCAGGCAAAATGAATATCCAGAGCCAATAGTGTTGCAAGAAGAATGTCGGGTTGACTGTGTTAGTTGTGCGACGCATTGTAATTGCAACATGCCTGTGAGTTTGTTTGCGACGAGAGACAAGGCAGCCGGTTGTTGATCTTTCGTGCGAAGCCTTGGCAGGTTCAGCTATGAAAAAAATTATAATCCTCCTCAAGAACAACATTGTTGGCCTAATAACCACTTTGTAATGAATTTATTGGACGAACCAACTACAGTGATCACCGACACCAATAGGAAGATGGGAAAAAATAATATCTTGCTAAATCAGAATAAATGAATGTAAGAGGTGGGAAAGAGTTACGGTACTACAAGCGACATTGAGGGTGTTTCTTTCAAACAAACGACTACGATACTAGTTTTCATCCATATAAATTGTCTTCAAAATTGAAATTTCAATTTGTTACGACGCAGGAAAAGGCAACCGAATGTATTCTTCATTATGATTTTTAAGCGTCTTTACTCGATGGGCGAGCTTCTTCACTCTACTAATGTGGCCGCTCCTGATTTTTGTGACGTTACTAGAGTTCTAGGAACAAATTCGAGTTTGCTTCAAAACATAGACCACGCTTTCACTTCTATTAGAGCAGACGGTCTAGTAGTAAGTGGAGAAGGAAGGAACCATAACAACAAGTAAGTAAAGATTCTACGTTGTTGATTTTGATTACCATACATAGAGGAATTAGAGCAAAATGGGCTTGGAAGCGGTGATGATCTGTATCGACAATTCTGAGTGGAGCCGGAATGGGGATTATGCGCCTAGCAGATTCGATGGTCAAAATGTTAAGACATTTGAACTCACTAAATGCTGCATCTTCTTCACATCATGGTCTATTTCGCACTAAGCATTGTTTCTCAGAACTATAAGAAGTATTTCTTCGGAATAGTTTGTTGATTGATGATGAAAATTGAAAAACAAAAACCATGACTTCTTGCTTCTAATAACAAAGCTGCAAATCTTGTCGCTGGTCAGAGAACGGGAAGTAACCCAGAGACTGGTGTAGGGCTGCTCACAATGGCAGGAGAGAGAGCAGAAATACATTTGACACCGACGACTGACTTGGGAGCGGTATTATCTACTTAAAATGACGAATGATTGATCCCATGATAAGCATGAGAGTGCTGCAGCTGGCACATTTACTCTTACGAGCTATAGCCTTGTAGAAGTGCTAGTGTAGTTTCTGACAATGCATAATAAAAGAAGAAAATACGAATACCTCCAAGAATTCCATCTTCCCAATCTCTCTCGTCAGTTCATTTCCGCGCTTTCGGGTATGCAAATAAAAGGAAAGTCAGACTTCGTGCGAGGAGTGCAATCAGCGACACTAGCGTTAAAGCATCGACAAAACAAGAATCAGAAGCAAAGAGTGATCTGCTTCGTCGGAAGTCCAGTTGAGGCTACGGTAAGAATCAATAAGTATTTACAGTTAAGTACTTCTACATCTACCTGTTTGTGAATGAAAAAATATGTCGTGCTCGTTACTTTGTTGGCCGCAACTGGCACTTAGTGCTCGACGTAGAACATCAGCTTGTTGTCCTTTTAGTAGATGAAAATGTTTCAAATTACTTACTTCCAAAAATAGGAAAAGCAGCTAGAAACTTTGGGCAAGACGTTGAAGAAGAACAACGTTTCGCTTGACGTTGTTTCCTTTGGGGAAATCGCTGACAATCATGCCAAGCTTCAAAAGCTAGTCGATAGCTGCAATGAGGACTCGCATCTAGTAGAGGTGGAGCTTCCGAAAGTTCTCTCCGATGCGATACTGTCAAGCGCAATATGCTTCGGTACAACAACTTCATGCTATATCTTTCTTGACTCCCCTTTTCAGCAGCACTTTTCAAGACACTTTTCTTTTGTCGTGATGTCCACACCCACTTCGTCAAATCAAGTCCAACACCTGACTGAATTAGATCCTACTAGCGTTCCTTTCCCATCATCGACACTTTTCCCATTATCACATTCACACCTAAGGATTTCGACATCATGATCGCTAAGACTGGACGACATTTCTTTGTTCCTGCTACATACTTCTAGGTGAAGGAGGCGCCCCAGGAGGCGCGGGTGCCGCAGCTGGAGGAGATGGCTTTGAGTTTGGTGTGGATCCGTCAGCGGACCCAGAATTAGCACTAGCGTTACGTATTTCTATGGAGGAGAGTAGACGGCGGGAAGAAGGCGCGGGAGGAGAACCATCAGGTGATGCAGCCGCCGCGCCGGCAGGCGCAGCAACAGGCAGCTCAGGTGCTGCAGCCCCAGCAGCAGAATCCGCAGGAGCAGCTGCGACTGGGGGTATCTAAATCTATAATTTTATTTGTGTGTTGTGGTCGTGCATTTGTCATTTATTAAGATGTAATGTTGATGTTCTTTCGGACGGTTGCTCGATTCTAGTCCTACTAACCTGAAAAACGCTGGCGATGGAAGATGCAAACCCCATAACAGAAGTATCCACCAATCTTCACTCAAGCAGAAACTCCAACTGAACAAAAAGGACCACCAAGTCATTCTCATGTAACTAAAAATAATTCTTCCTATCCCTTGCAGCTCCCGGTGCAGCCCCAGCAGGGGTAGATATACCCGGATTCGAGGACATGGACGAGGAGTTGAGACAGGCAATATTACTGTCAATGCAAGGTATAGTTGGAGCTACGAGGACCTTCTCAATTGCTATTGCGCCTAAAAATGCTTTTTTTCTTCATAAAGTCTTTCCACATTTTTCCATATCGTTCCCTCTGTTCGACGATGTGCTGAGTAACTACAAGATGCAGCTTCCGAATTTCCCACCACATAAAAAATGCAAATTAGACCCCGTCATTGGCATTTCATTTCCAATAGAATCCGCGCCCCCACCTGCCGCGGAAACACCAGCTGCAGCGAGTTCAACGAAGGCTGAAGGCGAACCCGCAGAAAAGAAGCAGAAGACCGAACCAAAGGCCGACGCTCCACCCGCTGCTGCAGCAGGTTTCCTTTTGGATTGATTGAGAACAGAAATGATGGTTGAGAACGGATGATCAATCTCTACAGCAAAATAAAGAAGATCTCTTCCTTTCTACTGCACTTGACGAACAATCAATTACATTGCTTAGAGAGGTTTTGCACTACGTTCCTCTCTCACTGAGAAACTATTAATCAATACTATTAATCAGTTCGCTACCTACTACCCATGATGTGATCTTTCTCTATCTCTATCTCAATGCACCCAGCACGCACCGCACTAGTTATAATAATTTGACGATCTCTCACTAAACAGCTGCACCGGCAGAGGAGAATCTGTTCCAGGATCCAGATTTCATGGCCTCGCTCCTTAGTGAACTTCCCGGCGTTGATGTAAACGATGCGAGAATACAGGCAGCAATTAAAGGTGATGACGCAGATAAGAAGGACGGCGACAAAAAGGACGATAAAAAGGACGATAAGAAGAAATAGTTCTAGAGAATGAACTGACTTTTTTTTTTGACCACCTATTAATTTCACATCTTACCTGTGTCCTCATCCTCATGCCCGTGAGAAGTCGTCCATTCCTCCAATCATTTTGTTGTAACACGCGCCTCAAGTGCGTGTGTGTGTTGAAACCCAGCATCGAAAATACTTTCAGCGCAATGGCAAAAAACTGTGTATGAACAAGCTTGTACTTTTACCCTATTTTTTGAAGTAGAAGCTGAATCTTCAATAAATTTACGGAGCCGCGTGGCTTTGCTTCATTGGGCACGAAGTAATTTGTGGCAGAAGCTGAGAACGGACGGACTCGTTTCTGGAGTAATAATCTATTTCAATTTTGTCGCTACGTCGTTCCCACACCAGTTGCAATCGCCTTATAGGCGTTTGAAAACAGTCGAGACAGATCAGGATCCTGATCGTGATCGACAGGAAATATTGAGCTGGATGTGAGATTGAGTTCGGAGTTCTGGGTGTGCCACATTGTAGAGAAAAAGCCCGATCATGCGGTGTAATCTTAATATCGAAACATGCTCCTGTGAGGCAGATCAACGGATCAAAAATCAAACGATCCTTGTGTACTAGGTAGGTATTTTTGTGGTAGTACTTCCACCTACTAGTCTTCTTGCGAGGGTTCGATAAATAAATATGATGAAGCTTTTCGTCCGCTGCGGTGCTCCGCTTGCGCTCTTATCATTGTTTCAGTCGAAGTTCAATATTGATGATCATGGTGGGCGTGGGGCTGTGGGCGAGTGCCTGGCCGTTCCCTTCAACAAGAAAGCAAGGGTTTCTGCAGAAGTCGTGGAGCATCCGCGTGCACCACATGCTGACGAAGCTCCTGAGAATGACGGAGACCCTGAGCACACCAGAGACCCTTGCCAAAGCTTCGCCGGTCATTCGCTTCAACCTGCACAAAGTGCAAAGAATCGAGAAAAGCCACGAAAGCGCGGTAGCTCAGTGTCGAAGGAGGTGCGCGCCGTCGATTCCTTTCCCACCTATGACGAGGAGAGAAGGGCGTCGCCATTCTACTCTCCTTGTTCTACAACTAGTACAAGGAAGAAACGTACTGGCTTCGGCAGTGCAGACGAGCACCTCCTAGAGCTAGAAGCAAACAACGGCGAGTCGGCCTCTGCGAAGTCCTTGAAAAAAAAGGTGAACGTGAACGACAAAAGAAAAGATACTTCATCTTCACACGACGAGCATGATGATCCGCGCGAGCCTTACGAAGTCCGTCTTCGTGATGGTGCTATCATGCCACTAGTTGCCTTCGGAACAGGGTCTACAGGTTCTTTCACCCGCGAAGGAGAAAACGCGCTCCAAACGGCTATCCTTGAGGGTGGTGTGCGGCATGTCGATTCTGCAATGTATTACGGTGAGAAAAGGCTGGGACAAGTCTTGCAGAGAATTTTCCTGGCCGAAAAGGGACGCTTCAAACGTAAAGATCTTCTTATCACAACGAAAGTGGAGCCGACTGATCCACGCATACAGAAGGTCCTGCGAAGTGGTTGGGGTGGAAACGAGGGACAGCAGACGCTTGTGGAGGGAGTGCCAGTACTAGAAGCGAATGAAGCCCACAACGTCGAGAATCGTGGAGCTACGGCGGCATGCGGGAAGCATAAAATTTTCACACACTCAGAGGATGAGAGCGAATCCGCACAGCGTGGAAGCCATGAACATGGACGAGGGGAAGTACGAGTGGCATCCTGTAAAACTAAAAGCACTATGTCCGAGAGGAAGCATGAGAGGAAGCATGAAGATGTCGACTTGAATGCTGATCGGAATCATGTAGAAGAATGGAAAGACCTAGAAGCCCAGCACTACAGGCAACACCACAGGCAACAGGACTTGAATCGTGTGGTCGCGGATATGGTGAAACGATCCTTGCGAGACTTGGGCGTGGATCAGGTGGACCTTCTGCTGGCGCACAGCGCGCCAATGCGAGAAAGCGACTTGATCCGCTTCTACAGAAGCTTACTCCACTGCCAAAAGGACCTAAAACTCACAAGAAGCGTGGGCGTGAGTAATTTTGCGATTCTTAAGGCTTTTTTTGGGATCGTGGTGTACTATTCAGTTTGTGCTTGAGCTTGCCTGTGAGGCATTATAGATTTCATCCTTTCGGAAGCAGACTAGGCCAGAGCGTCTTCTAGTTCATTCCACTTGTTGTAGTCTATTCCACTTGTTGTAGTCTGTTCCATTTCGTCATACAGTTACAGTGTGGAAGATGGACGAGAGTAACTCGTGTCCTGTGGACTCCTGTGGACCTGTTGGACTACTCTGCCATTCAGAAAAATGATGGTAGGATGAACTAGCCAGCACCATGGGCACGACTGACGACCATGATAGCAAAGGAGCACGAGGAACACGTCGTCTAAGATCCACCACCTGGAAAGACTGCGAAAGAATCTTCATCCAGGCCTGATGCCGGTGGTGAACCAGATACAATTTCATCCGTTCTTTCGTGGTATGATGGGAGACCGCATCTTAGAGCAAATGCAGGTCGACGAACACTCCCGCTCCGCTTCAGCGCATCGAACGATCATGGACTACTGCAAAGATCAGGGCATCGTGATAACGGCTTACAGTCCGCTTCAGCCGTTGCAGGTACTGGCAATCCAAGATATTATGGTAGAGATGAGGCGATGTAGTAGTTAACACCCTTAAAGATGTGGCACTTGCAGGAATACTTAGTTAGTTTCTGTTTTTGTGTCGAGGATAATGAATCTCTTCTCTGCCAAAGAATCCAAGGGCAGATAAGAGGCATCAAAGGTTATATAGTATACAGAAGATGAAAACAAGACTAGAAGAAGCCTTCAACAGCGACCGACAAGGCTCGACGTCCACGGCTGCAGAGGCTCAGTTGCTGCAGTGGGGAGCTAGCAAGAGTGTGCTCAAGGAGTGGCGTACGACGAAGAAGGTTATGGACGGTGTGAGCCCCGCTGACTTGTTCCGCTGGCATCTGCGAAGTGGTAGAGGCGTTGTGACGTCGACAACGAGTGTGGCAAGGGCGGCCAGTATGATGCAAAAGATTTATTCCATACGATCTACTGGTGCTGTACCTGTAAATGAAGTGTGGTGCAGCGAGAAGGAAATGAACAAGAACTGTGTTGCAAAGCAACAGCTGCGCATCAGGAACGTTATTAAAGCCTCCACTTCGCAGAAGATGAGTTCTGGTCGGAAGAGGAGCGTTGGGTCCTCGAACAGGAGCTTTTACTCTGGAATTGACAAAGACGATCGACAACAGAGTCAGAGTGAAACTAAACTTCCTACCTCCTTCTCCGTCTCCGATGTAAAAAAACATAATGAATGTAGTACAACGCGGGGTCTGGGCGATCAAAAACAGTTGTTGAAGTCGAGGAGCTGCCTAGTGTTCAGTAAACTTTCTGCGGCTAATCAGTGGTCCGATGAATTTTTACACTTCTGGAACTTCCGTATCTATTTCGATGATAATGGACAACGAATGAATTGAAAAAGTTGTGACAAGGGTGACGACGGCTCCTGAACGGAAGGAAGCAAATATTCTAGATACGACTAGGGACACATCATGCGACTACATGCAAGTAGACCTCTCCGTGTCATCTTGCTGGCACAGTTGTTTCCGTATACTCAGACTCCTGATCAAGGTCTTAGAGACACGCACCACGACCCAAGTGGCTTTCGGCGGGTTTGGCATTTGATCCTCCAAGGTTGTGGCATTCTGATGTGTTGTATCTATTACGATCCTGGGAAGTAGAAGTTGTGCGCTCGTCTCACTTCAGATAGCGTATTCTTCCATAGGCTGCACATGAGAGGGTCGATTATGAAATCTTTGCCAGAGACGTGGCACGCAGAGGCAGAGAGCGAGAGGCGCCACTAGCTGTGAATGTGAATTATAATACGGAAGACTTTGATACGAGGAAGCGATAATCTATGAGTAGCGCTCATGCTCATTGATGTGACCAAGCCATGGATCCTCGATCTCTCATGCTAGATCAGTTGCTTTTGTCGTTCAGTATCCTCCTCTTACCCATCTTCTTCTTCTGCTTGTCGATCTACTATTTCATAGGATATCATGTACTGTCTGAGGTCGTGAAAAGTGAGGATCTCGATCCAGTGGAGAGAAATATCAATACGAGTTCATCTCCGGCTTCAACTACAAACGGTCGCTCATGGAGATGAGCAGAGGAGAGGAACTACAGCATGGTGATCTTCTTGATGGTTTGACTTAGACTTACTCAACTACATAAGATCGTGAGCAGGAGTACTGCAATGAAATTCGAGTTCACGACGACAATGTTTATGTTGATCAATCCCACTGGGTCATCATGTACACACCATGTTCTTCATGGAGAAGGGGATCATCATTGATCATGACTTGGTTGTATGCTTCAATGGGGAAAAGAGTGACAATTGATCATCATGACTTGATATGCTACACGAAGATCATCGCGAAGTCTAAGCTGGAAATTCAACAAGAAAGTGCTGCCACCCATCAAGGCAGTCTTGAACAGTCCCATGTCACGTGCTGGGTACAGGTGTGGTTACCAAGGTCGGGCGTCGATCAAACACGACTGGGAGCACAGCCGTAGACTGACGGGAGAGCCGCGGAGACTGTCTGCAGCGACAGCTCTAGGTAAAGTAAGTTTCTAGACCGCCCCCCATAGCGTTAGCGATAGAAACTAGACTGTTCATACAAAGAGAAGAAGAACGGCTGCCTACGCTGCGACGAGCCTCAATTGAAAGTATCCGATATAAGTATAGTACATTGACGTGGCGTGTACTTGCACTCGCATCGCGATGAGGCCGGCGGGCACGCTGTATGGGGAGCAACAAGCTAATGCATGAGAGATTGGGAAGGTCACGAAGCTGGTCGTGATACTACATCTTCAGGAGGAATATCAGAATCGGGAAGAACGACTACTCTCCTACAGCAACATAGTGTAAAAGTAGCCAGCCCTGCATGCGCATGGGACCAGGACCCAGGCTCTGCTCTACTTCAGATGAACGACCTACCGGAGGACACGACTTGATATTTATACGACTGGAAGAAGTCCTCGTGCTTCTAAGCAGGACAGAACGCTCTCGTTGGCCAGCGAAGGATACAACTCTTGATGTGGGTCAGGTCAGGAAAGGCACGTGTTGAGGAGGTCAGGAAAGGGCGCTGTTGCTGTTGGTTAGGAAAGGCACGTGTTGAGGAGGTCAGGAAAGCAGGTCTACTCGGTGCTTGCGACGTCAGGAAAGGACTCGGTTGGTCAGGTCAAGAAAGCAGGCCTACTCGGTGCTTGCGACGTCAGGAAAGGACTCGGTTGGTCAGGTCAGGACAGCAGGTATACTCGCTGCTTGTGAGGTCAGGAAAGGACTCGGTGTGTCAGGTCAGGAAAGCAGGTATACTCGCTGCTTGCGACGTCAGGAAAGGACTCGGTTGGTGAGGTCAGGAAAGCAGGCCTACTCGGTGCTTGCGACGTCAGGAAAGGACTCGGTTGGTGAGGTCAGGAAAGCAGGCCTACTCGGTGCTTGCGACGTCAGGAAAGGACTCGGTTGGTGAGGTCAGGAAAGCAGGCCTACTTGGTGCTTGCGATGTCAGGAAAGGACTCGGTTAGTGAGGTCAGGAAAGCAGGCCTACTCGGTGCTTGCGACGTCAGGAAAGGACTCGGTTGGTCAGGTCAGGAAAGCAATCTACTCGCTGCTTGCGACGTCAGGAAAGGACTCGGTTGGTCAGATCAGGAAAGCAGGCCTACTCGGTGCTTGCGATGTCAGGAAAGGACTCGGTGGGTCAGGTCAGGAAAGCAGGTATACTCGCTGCTTGTGAGGTCAGGAAAGGACTCGGTTGGTCAGGTCAGGAAAGCAGGTATACTCGCTGCTTGTGAGGTCAGGAAAGGACTCGGTTGGTCAGGTCAGGAAAGCAGGTATACTCGCTGCTTGTGAGGTCAGGAAACGACTCGGTTGGTCAGGTCAGGAAAGCAGGTCTACTCGCTGCTTGCGATGTCAGGAAAGGACTCGGTTGGTCAGGTCAGGAAAGCAGATCTGTCAGGAGAGGATAACCTTGCTGTTGGTCAGGTCTACTCGGTGCTTGTCAGCAAGGGAAAGGATAATCTTGCTGCTTGGCAGGTCAGCATAGGATACTCTTGCCGCTGCTCAAGTACTATACTAGCGTAAGGAAAATCAGAAAAGCACTACTTACGACGAGCGATACAGGGGTTTCTGCTCGACTGCAGTGCCTCTCTATGAAGAAGGAAGTTTCTGCATCCGTAAGTATTCTCGTCTGACGGGTAGCAATAGCATGACGTGATAATATGACAAACTACACTGATGTAACAGCATGAGACTGAGAGGGCTATATGTAATGCACGAGTTGCAATAGAGCAGATACTGTACCCGGCAAATGAAGTGATGAACTTGTGGAAAACATCTATCCTTGAGGCATGAGGTGAATCTTTCTTGTGTCCGTAGTGTTGGGTCTGGTTCAGAGCCGGTTCTTCCTCCGTTAAGGATCAAAGATGAACTGTTGACATCAAATATCTATAATCACAAGTCCTGCCATGATACTTCAACTAGATGGATGTACATGTAGATATGAAGTCCTTGTTGTTAACCTGGATGACGATGGTGACAGTGATCGATGTCGTGAAGGTTCTGCTGCAAGAATGATGGTGATCGATGCGATCCTACAAACCGTTCCCCATGGTAAATGAACATCGAGTCAAGAGAGAGATTGAAATCATGCTAGTCCTCGGGAATACTGATACCATAGATCATAAGAGAGACTGATACCCAAGAAAGAGAATGCATCAGAAAAACCACACGTCGATGTTAAGCACGCCTGGATCTACAACTCACTGGATCTCTACAACAAGAGCAACTGTGACCGCTTCAATTTCTATCGTGACCGTGTCAATGCCTACCTGGGCTAACGGACTGATCCTGAAGCTGAGGATCCTGCTGTTGCTAATCATGCCTACACGAAGGTCAAGGTCCTTCAATACGAACTACAAACGTCTTGGTGAATGATCTTGATCGCAACCCTAATGAATATGAAAATCGCTCAAACCTGTGAATAAGAAGACCTCGCTTCTCAGAGATTCGGAAATGTTCTACATACTACGTTTTATCTACTCCTCGTCGAATGAATCACACGCGACTACATTTTACTCACTCGTCCTCCAATAAACAGGGTAGCAAGCTTCGCGCGAAAGCACAAAGCCAGCAACTACAACAAATCTCATCTACTGCTCAGAAACTTGTTTTATTCTCTCACGAATAAGACACATTTTTCTGTAAATCTTGAAACAATTTTTGACCCAGCAAAATCTACGAACGAAGACTCAAAGACTCCTCATATTTCTCGAGAAGAACTATTTTTGCTTTTGGTATATTTTCTATTAATAACGTCAATCATCTCAAAAAAGAACAACATCAGACCCCGATACCTGTTTCCCTATTATCTACAACCTTTTCGTCGTATTGGTTTGAAGTCCATATCGACAAGAATTCCGAGAATGCAAAGGTATTTCTCAACCAACCAATCCCAACAAAAGATGTCCTTCTTCACTCGGCGCTCTGCGTTCCGCACCGCGGCTTGCGTGGTTGCGCTTGGCTCTGGTGCGCATGCAGCAAGCATCCCTGGTGTTTGCTGCCGGGAGATACGTTCTTTCTTATCGAGTCTCCGGGTCCGGGGAAATGAACCAGGCTGCTCAGACTCTTCTGTGTCTGAAAATGAACGACTTCTTGATCAAGGAGTCCCCCAAGACCGCCAATCATCTGGATCAGACGGATCTCCCGTGGGAGGTGGACAAGCAGCACGCACGTCGTCTGAAATAAAGATGGATCTGTGGATGAAATATGACTTGAGAGAGCTGGCCAAAAATTTCATCTTTGATCAGGGAACAAATTCGCTAAAGGATGTTGCTCCTGCGGATGCAGCTCACGTCGAGCAGCGACGCGAGGCTTTACTTCGGGAGTTTTTTCTGCGCGCTCGGGAGCTCCTCGAATCCGAAAACGGTGAGGGAATCGACGTGAAACTTTCTCGCCCGAAAGATGGCGATTACATTTATTATCTGCACCTTTCTGCGAACGCAGCGGACGCCGCGGACGCCGCGCAGAAGGAGACCGCCGCTGATATGCTTCTGGAGGAGTTCGGTCTCGCACCTGAGCGCCATGGCAAACCCAAAGATCCCAAGAAGTCCAGTTCAGTCAGGATTGCAGGCAAACAACTCACAACAGAGCCGACGGAACCCGAGGTCCTCGACCCAAAGACGGCAGTGGTGCAAATCAGCATTCGAAATCTAGCACATGAAAAGGAGTTTCTGTTACGACTCAACGTGTCCCTTTATTGAGTCTGAGGTGTAGTTGAACCAATTCCCGTGTCTCCTCGTTGACCATGACCTTGATGCTGCATAAATATGAAAGTAGAAGATTATTGCTATATTATGAGTGAATGAACATCCATAGGAGAGTGAATGAATTGAGTGAGTGCGGGGTCTGGATGAATAAGAATACGAATAGAACATAATATTATAGCATTAAATCTATATATCACTAAGGAAATAATAAATACATAGCAAGAAGAACTGCACTTGGAAAAGCTGCTGCAAACGTCATACTTCGTATCTTGGGAAAATAGTATCACATTCTAATCTTCTTCGCCGCAAAGAAGGCGCAGGCAGACGTGCGTGAATTCGAAGGGCGAGACAACATCGCGTATCAAATCTTGAGGGTTGAACCGGGCACAGAAGCCTTCAAGCACTTTTTTACGGTTCATCTGAATACGTCATTCACTTTTTAACGAAACGAATCGCAAAATCTGACTGTCCAAGTTTTTCTCCTCAAAGGACCTGTTGATTAGCAGCTAATTAGCTGTCTGGCCAAGAAGGTGATCCTTAATCCTGCCTCGTTAATGGAGCTGGTTTGTGGTTATCAGAGATAACGAGCAACTATCGAAAGCTCTAACTTGCGTCCCTCCGTATACTCGGCACCAAAATCGGATGGAGAGCCTGCAACTGTGGCCAAGGATGAGAAGGTCAAGGCAATTTACTTTTTGTGGGAGATCTTTGCTCACAAAGAGGCAAATGACATTACGACCAATTTTTCATCCTCCGATACCTCCATGCAAGCCATTACAGAGGACAATGCTGAGTGGCTGTCCTCTTCCTTGAATTAACCAAGGACGAAGCACGTGGCTTGGAGTCCTCTGGTCTCACAGGTCTCACCGGGCACACAAGGGGGAAGAGGACAGCCCACTCAATCCGGTTGGGATGATGAAAGACTACCGCTAAGACAAGGCATCTGGGGGCACCACATTTCAAGAAGGGCTTCCAAGCATGGAAGGCTGACGGCCGAGTGTTGGGCTCCCCGTTCCCGTTTCCAGTCGATATGGAAGCGCATCAAAAAGTGGTGGCTAGCCTACAGCATGATGACGACATGCTGAAGACCTCGGCTGACGTGTTGACGAAGTACATGGGAAATTTACTTATGTCTCATGAGAAGCCCGTGGGAGTGCACGTGCCTGCGCGCGGAAAGACCACCGCATCAATCCGTGAGTTGTTTAATGACGAAAGTGAAAGCTGTTGCACACGCCCTCGCCTTCTTGTTACAAGCGTCGTCGGAGCAGCAGCCTTGCAACCAGGAGTAGAATATGTGCCCCAAGTCTCGACACTCACGGCCGTGCGAACTCTCAAGGAGGTGAAGTACAAGGATTTGGGGAAATTGGCACAGGAGTATCACTATCAGGATACTTTCATGGATCAAGTTCAAGACAAAGCAAAGCGCTCCAAGAAAACGCACGAATTTCTAGTACGTACGTTTTTTTTGCGCGTTCGACAAGTCCTGGATAAAGCGCGGTCTGAGTCCGGACTCAGTGATGTGTATTTCTCTCGCCTGAAAAAGAAAAACGATCATCAAACAGAACAAGAAGGGGAGCCGACTTATACTTATAGTTTTCATGTTTTTGCGCCGGCCATCGACACGACATCAGAGGAGGCTGCTGATAAGTTGGCTGCTGATAAGTTTGAGAATCTTCTTCAGGAATTTGGTCTGGCTCTGGGCGACAGCGGATCTCCATTTGCAGGGGCAGAGGTAAGCCGCCGCAGCGAAGACACGGAAGAGAGAGAGTTTTTGGATCCGATAAGCGTCGTGGTGCAGATTAACATTCGAGAGGGTGCAACAGCGCAAGAGAGGAAGAAGTTCTTGTTAAGGCAACATCTAGTATCCTCCTCATATTAATAATCCGACTACTTATCTGCTTTTTCACTTTGGATGAATTCCTCGTCTGCTGAATCCGCTTTTTCGAAGTAGAATCGGGACGACAAGGAGTACTACTTTTGTTCGTTGAAAAAGCGCCATATGATAACAATGCTGTCATTCTCATGTTAGGAACTTGAATAATGCTGACACGAGATGAAACGATAGACTTAGATGCTATATTATGCCGTTTACGACCCGTGTAGTTGTACACTGTCATCAATCGGAACATCATCTAAGCTCTGAGAACATCCAGAAGACCCAAAAGGGAGTCTTTGAGAACGAAGGACCGAATGCCCTTGCATATCAATTTTTAGCAGTGGAGGACCCGGCCACTCTCGCGTCTGTTCTTAAGGCTCGAAGTGATTCACTCTCTTCTAGTTCTAGCTTTTTTTTGTTGCCTACTTGTCTACAAGTGCGCCACCGCGTGACTTGAAACGGGGTCGTGGCCCGGACTTACGAATTCAAAGAGAAGGCAGGGACTACGTTTTATTGGGTTCTTTTGATTGATGCAGAACCCCCAGAGGGCTAGGGCATGTCTAGAAGAAAGTGAATCATGCAGAGCTCTAACCTGCGTCCCACCGTATACACGCCAAACTCAGACGGTCCTGAGCACGGGCCGACGGTGGATTCGGACAAAAGTGTCGAGCAAGTTTACTTTCTGTGGGAAGTGTACGCTCACAAGCCGGCTCAGGATATTAAGACTAATTTTTCATCGTCCTGTGTTGAGTGTCCGCAACACGTCCTGTGTTGAGTGTCCGCAACATGCCATCCCGTGTACGTAGACAATCCTGAGTGGCGACCCCCTTGATTTGAGAAAGAAAGAAACACGACGTTCTTTCGTAGAGTCGGGTCGCAGAGGTGATTTGGTAGGTCACATCGGAGACGCATGACAAGACAATCAAGGGGGAGGACAGCGGATTCACTCAGGGTAGGATGATGAAAAACCATCGCTAAGACAGGCCACGCCGCATCTCAACATTTCAGAGACAACTATCTGAAGTGGAGAAACGAAGGCCGGACAGCGTCTTCCCCGTTCCCGTATGGCCAGGGAACGAAAGAGGAGTGCGAAAGAGTGCTGACGGATCTACAGCGTATACCAGGCATGCCGGACAACCAGAAGGATGTGATGGCGAAGTACAAGGGAAATTTACTTTCATGTTCGTCTGATATGAAACCGATTGTAGCGCAGGTGCCTGCGCGTGCGACGCCGGACGCGATCGGTCAATTGTTTGACGGTGTGGAGCAGCAACTTCTTCGGAGTTGGCAAGAAGACGATTTCGTGAACTCAGGTGACATGTGATCGCACTCTACAAACGACTTTGCCACGTGAAGGATGACGCAAAAGGGACGAACTTCTTCGAGACACAAGAAGCTTGAAAATCGATTAGAAAGCAGGTTGAGGAGGCCTCTCTGACTCAGAGAGGAAGAGATGATCAAGGAGCAACTTCATTACTCAGGAGACTGATCATGCTGATCGCATTGCTTTCTGTTTCTACTCTGCTTCATTTAATAATCGTGCATAATTGATTATCCATCCTCGACATTTTTACACATCAGTTCTTCACGTAAGTACTTAGGATAGTGCCGAGGATGTAGTCGGTATTAAGCCCTCTCTCAGTGATGATCTGTATTAAAATCATGCTCTGGTTGGGTTTTTCATAAGCGTCCTTGGATGCAAACTGCTCTTTCTTCTCCTCGAGCTTATTCGGGAGAACTCCATAAGATACAAAACATGAGAAAGCTCGGCTTCGGACGAGGGTTCACATGCACCTTCGGGTAGCAATCTTGCATTCATAATTAGACGGGTTAAAAGGAAGATTGAATAAAGTTGGATTGGGCGATAGGTGAAAACTACACTTTGCTTGAAACACTTTATCGACAATAAGGTCCTCAACCCTCTGACCGAGATCATGTAAATCAATCGCTTACACTCCTTGGATATCAAATAAGCTACGTATTTACAAAATGGTCTTGAGCTTGAGGACCACCAGGCTTGTCACCTACCTTTACCCACAAGGAGGACGTCCTCCACATTTTGGTTGGGATGTGCGCTAGCACAGAGAAAAGAACCAACACAGTCGTAGGTCCAATCCGAATCGACTAACGTCACAAGTGGTTACAGATATAGAAGAGTTGTAGGGGACCTGGAGGACTGTTAGTGCCTCTACCTAGTACTTGATAACCACTTTTTCAGAGGAACGAAGAAGAACCAATGACTAAGACTAGAGGAGAATATGATTTATAATGAGTTGCATCAGTAGCTTATGGAAAAATCGTAGTTGTTGTATAACAACATGGTTAGGGAAAGTCTTTGTAGTTTGTTAGTGGGTTCGTAGGTTAGGGAAAGGTCTCCTATAACTCCACATTCCTAAAGCAGATTGTCGACAGAAACATTTTCAAATGTTATTGGAGAGGGGTGCATCATCATCACAATGCATGTGCGTGAGTCATGTTCTGGTCCGCCCTTCCTGCTCAACACAATACTGTACAAGAAGAAGAACAACAGTACAACGGATGGAAAGCCAGGAAAAGACGCACGCACAGATGTCAAGCATTGAATGATCTATCAGAGCCAGAGCAAGGCCAACTACGTGCTAGTTGTTCTATCTCGAGCATCCATCGGCGTTCTGGTATCTCTAGAATCGATCTCTTTGAGGAACAACGCACCAACTGCAACTCTTGCTGTTGTGTACACGAAAACTTCTGGTCGTGTTCCTGCTCGGCACGTTCGTCTTCTGGACGCACTCTAGTACCTACTGTGAGCTAGTGTCGTGCTTTGGCAGTCTTGGTATGCAGTCAAACTTTTTCGCCGGTACAACAAGAACTCGCTGGAAGGGGAATGTTTGTTACCGAGCTTCTACTTTTTTTACTTGTTATTTTTAGGAATTGAATGGAGTCAATGTCAATCCTCGGAAAAAAGGTCAATCCCAGACAGTTCTGTTTCTGCATTGAGGCTAGCTGTCGTGTGAGTGAAGGTGGAGTCTCAAGGATGAAGTACAGAACAATCTAGTAAGAGGGAATGTAACAAGAAGTGCCATCGAGCACATTATCACCACGGTAAGAATGAGAATCCGAAAGCCTGGGCAATGAAATGAGTGCGCAGATTCTTTGCTTCGGTGTGCTATCTGTGTTATTCTGTACAAAGCGAAAAGTGAGAGAAAAAATAGGCCTGCGCTCTAAAGCTACATAAAGTTCAGACCAGTCAATCAATCGCTATCGGCCTAATCTTCATCGAGCCTGAAGCGAGACTCCAAGAATTCTTCATGTGATATAGAGCAGCAAGAGCACCGCCTCTCCCCATAAGTTACATCGTCAGCCAGGCAATATCAATATCAAGAATGTATGGGCCAGAACTGGAAGGGACCCGATACCAGAAGGGGCGGGAAAGTAAGGGCCTCTACATAAAAGGTAGAAGTTCCGACAAAAAAGGTAGAACCTACAAAAATAGAAGCCAAAGAGAACCGAAGAAAGGGGAAAAAGGTAGAAAAGCGACGCAAGTGAGGCTCGGCAAGAGCACGCCGCAAAAGGGCGAGAAAATGCCGCTATACTATGACGCGACTTGGGGAGACGCGACTCGGCAGGCAACAAGCGCACAATGAAACAAAGCGCGCCAGAAGCGAGCAGAGACAGTGGGGCAGCTACATGAGAGGCCGCAGAAGTGAAGGCGCGAGAGGAAGCGAAAAGCAACGAGGCAGAAACACACAGGCAACAGCCGCGCGCGAGGTTTCGAATCTCAAGCCGTAGGCCTAAGAGGCGCCGTCTGAAACGCGCCGCGGGGTTTCGAATCTCAAGCCGTAGGCCTAAGAGGCGCCGCGGTGTTACAAATCTCAAACCGGGGGGGGGCGTGGGGGTCGCAAAAGAAAGGAGCGCGCCGCGAAGCGGTTGCCTGATAGTTTCCCGGGCGCTTACCTCTGGCGGGCGCTAGGTACTGCGGCCAGCGCGGGAGGACTTTGCCGCGCGCCGACTGGGAGAGAGAAACGAAAGGCGCACCGGGATACGCCTAGCCTGGCCTACAGCGCCAGCAGGGCGGTGGCAATCTTACCAAGACACTGCGCGGCCCCCCGCCGGGTCCTGACGGGTATCTATGACACAGGCCGCCTGGCCGCTGGCAGCTGAGGGGGAGGAGCAACCTACAAGAAGAGCCAAGGGCTGCTTATTTTCTGGCCCTTTTCTGGTGCTTCGGCTCCAGTTTTTCCATGTATGGATCGGAAGAACTAGGCCTCCGGTATTAGAAGGGCCCGGTTTTTTTCCTCCTTTAGACAGAGCGGGGCCGCAAAAATCCCGGGCCCTTATTTTCCAGCGGAGTTTCTTAAATCTCGGGCGGGGTCCCCGGAAGTACTGCTCCCTCCACTCCACTGCCATCGCCGCGCCCCGGAGGCCTGTGTTATGGATGCGCGGCCGGACCCGGTGGGGAGCCGCGCGCGCTTGGCCGCGCAGTGTCCTGGTAGGATTGCCACCAAGCTGCGTACGGTCTCTCAGGCTAGGCGCATCCTGCTGCGTCTTTCGTTTCTCGGTGTTCTCCTGCTCTTGCTGCAGTACCTCGCACCCGCCAGAGGCAGGCGCGCGGGCAACTGCTAGGCAGCAGGAGCTTCGCGGGCCGCTTTCGTTTTGATGTGCGTCAGCCTTTGTTTTGCTGCGGGCTTCGAAAGGTCCCGGGTGTCGCATGATTGATTGAAGCTTGCTCCCCGGGAATGGTGTGCGGCGGCTTTGTGTATCGCGTGTGTGGCACCCCGGAGCTGTGCGCGCTTCCGCCAGCGTTGTTCGCCCGGTCCCCCGTCGGCTCTCGTCTGGTCCCGCTTGGGGGTGCTGGGATTGGCTCTGGGTGTGTCGCGTGGGATTGGCTCTGGGTGTGTCGCGTGGGATTGTCATTGCTCAGCCACCGAGGGCGCCCTCGAGTCGCTTGGCGTGGTCCTTTGCGCTTCTCTCTTTCTCTCGTTGGTTGCAGGCTGTTCGTTGGTGCGTTCGCTTCTGCGGTTGTCCTCTGGGCTCTCTTGGCTTCTCTTGCGCGGAATCAGGTTCTACCTTTTTCTTGCAGTTCTTCGGCTTTTTTGGCTCTTATTTTTGTAGGCTTATACCTTTTGGCCTCCTTTTGTTGATCCCTTTTTTATTTGTCGGAGCCTCTGCCTTTTTTGTCGTGTTCCTTATATTCTTACCCCTCCTGGTACCGGTTCAGATGCTTGCTGGCCCACATGCTTACAACCTTTCTCGATTATTATTCAGGCACCTTTCTTCTTCATCTTCTTGTCTTACGATTTAATTTGTACAACTAGAAGTTTCTAGCCGCAGGCTATCTTGTTCTATAGCAGGCAACATACAAATCATGGTGAGACCATTTCCATCGTCCTGCAGTGTCCGTCGAGTGCCGTCCGAGAGCTCCACGGAGACTCCGACGCTGTCTACGTGCAGTGAAGGGAATAGTGAAGGGAAGGACGAATCAGGTCGCATTTCTGAAGAAGACGATACCTCCACTGATTCACCAGCACGCAACCGAGATCAAGACCAAAAGGACGAGCACCTTCTTCCTTCTGACAATCAGGAATCCACATCTAGTACTTCTGTACCCGAAGTAGGTGGTGCTATTTGTCACTCTTTTATTTCCTCTTCTAGTAGTACAAAACAGGTTGTGGATCATGATCAACAGACGAACCGACCGCCAAAGAAGAGCTATCACCTTTTTTGGAGTGAGGGTTTCGCGAGCAAGTGTTTTGGCTGGACCGCGGGTCATGGTAGTTTATTATGCCTCTATCACACCATGAAGCACTCGAGGAGTAGGGCGAACACAACGACACTCGGAGGTGCGGAGCTACCGTGCTTGCTTTGCGACAATGTGATGACTCAAAAAGTACTGGGCGTGGGGGAGCCAAATACGGAGTCAGCGTCCGGCAGCGGACTGAGGAGCCTCTTCGTGCTAGGCGAGACTTGTTAGCGTAAACCAGAAGACAAATTACAGGAAGTGAAATTTTGTAGAAGGAGCATCTTCTAAGTATCTATTGAAAAACCAATAAACTTTTCTTTACTCAAGGTCTCACTTAGACTTACTAGCATATTATGAGAAACAAGTGTCATCATGTGCTTGTGCCTTATCATCGGCTTCAGATGGTCATGGTCTACTTCTTCCACTTCTTCCTGATGATTTTTGAAATATAAGTAGCACTAGAGGAAAAGGGGAAGTAGATGAAGAAGGTTCTAATATCCCTTGCTACCATGAGTGGCAGTTGTTGCGCAATCCAGCTTGGGCTGAACCTCTTCAGTTTCGTTATGGCTTCCTAAATACATAGTGCATGTCAATCGCATCAAGGGTAAGGGAGGACTAGTTTAAGATTCTTGTTTTCTTCTTTCAACAACAAGTTCCATACCTCAACAGCGTTGTAAAAAATCTACTTGCAACCTGACAGCAGTGGGTGTTTTTACCGATCTTGATCTTCCATTAGTAGTGCGAAGATCATGATGAACAAATGATCTGGATCTTGTTAATTTTCATTTTCAGCTACTTAAACAATATTGTGTCGTCTAACTTTCGTTGCGCGGGATTCAACACTGTGCTCGGACCTTGGCGGCCCTTCCTGCTTAGCTTGACGGCGACGTCGCAAGCCGCTATGTGGCTCAACCTGCTCAAGGATGTCACGGGGACAACCGAGACTCCCATACTCTTATGACATAGTTCTAGTGTGAATCACAGTCACGAAATTACTTATGGTTTTCAGATGCCGAATCAGTAGTTTCGGTCACGAATTAGGAAAAGTAGCAGTTTCGGTTGCGCTTAGTTGATAGAGATAATCATGATCTTCATACATATTTATATTACTCCTCCGTTACCGTTTTCCTTTTCGACGAGAGTCCATCTATCTAGTTCATTGTCATCTTTTATTTGGACGTCTTCTACATAGTACAACGTCTTCGTGCCATCATCTAATATTTGTGGAAGGAATTGAGTCCTCCTCGAGGATCATCACAACTACTGGTAGTGCGACCACCAGTAGTGCGACTACGCGAATACTTTCAGCAGCGCTGACCACAGCGATTTCAACCTGTCTTGCCTTATTGCCTGAGCTCCTCTACCTCTGGGACCACAGGAAGAGTTCGAAAGCGGAATCTCTACTCCTATGTCAAGATGACCTTGTAGGAAGCAAGCCGGCGAGGACTGAGCAGAGTGCATCCAACCTTGTGACAGACGTTGGACAGACATCGGAGCAGACATTGCGACTGCGCGTTGAGGGGATGGGTTGCGTGGCTTGCGTCAATGCTGTCACAAACGCGGTGAATAAGCAAGGCAGCTTGACGTTATGGGTCTACTAAGTACTTGATTCTGTACTCCTGACGGCTGACAACAGATAGTCGTCATTACAGATTCTACTAGTTTACTCATGATTACAGAATCATAATTGCGCACAAGGGCAAGTGTTGCTATCATGCTGATTTAGAAATCATGTTGAAGACCATCGTGTGTGCACCAGTAGTTGAACCTCCTAAGTACGTGGGACTAACAAGAACAAACAGAATAGATGCCTACGATAATTGATGTGGTGCGAGGAAAAATAACATGATTAAGATCAATATTTTAGGAAATTATAAGTATAACTCTGTACAAGTAGCTATAAAAGCTTCTATGATAGAAACTCTCTTCGTCTTCTAATCGCGAGTTTCCGAGTGTCCACTGTGGACGTGCGGCTCGAAGAGGGAGAAGTTCGCGTCGGGTACTTGCGCTTGTCTCGTGCTCCTCCAACTGCAGCTGGAGGAACACTGAACGACGGCAGTAAAAATGATGTAACCAGGCCCCCGCGTGTGAAAGTGAATGACGGGGGGAGTGACTACAAGAATACAAGTAGAAGTAGTTGCGATCGCACGACAGAAGAAGACTTTTTTACAATACAAGCAGAAGACCTTACAACGTCCATGCAAATGCAACGCGAGGAGCGAGTTTTCTGGCATAAGGTTTGCGATGCTGTCCGTAGTGCGGGCTTTGAAGCCAGCATCATGCCTGGAGGTGAACAACAGGCAGGGAGAACATGCTGAGTAGTTGTGAACCAGAACTGCTATTCATACTTCAGCTTGTACATTGATAAACAAGGTGTAGGTGAGTCTTCGAGTCGGTATGTGTCAGGAGCGGGGGAGGCACGAACTGCGGGATCATTTATTTCGATAAGCTAACCCAACCTGAACTCAATTCCTCCTGCAAGAACCTTCCTCCTTATCCGTCCCTCGTACAATAACAGAGAGGACACTAACACTTCTTGATGGAATTACCGATGTGTCTTGTACAGCACTACTAGACGCGTTGTACCACTTGTGGGTCGGCGTCGGTCTTGTCGTATTTTTCGATTGGTTTTTTTTATCCCCACGGTTTGTTATGGTTAACAAGACTTCGAAGCCTTGCACCCCTCTGCTTCAAAAACTACGCAGCAATATCATGTTTCGTCATCCATGAACATGAAAATTTGTAATTTAGCGGAATTCGTCGTGTCGAAGTTGGTTCTTGTGAAACAAATGAGAAATTTCCTCGTCTGCATGTGAGAGTGAGAGACGTGGTCAACGTCGAGTGTCACCTTCATCGTTGTCTCTTGATTGACGAAGACATTCCAATATTTGGAAGTTGATCTCCAATTTTAGTAGAAAGGAATAGCTGCAGTACTTGCAGTTGCACTTAACTTGACCACTAGTTCGTATTCGTTGCACTCAAGAAAACAGGCAGCTTCTCGAATCGATCCAGAGCGCATAGCTGTGCCGCGACGTGTGCACCCGCGTAGCAGTGCTTTGATTGAATCCTGCAGCGCGGTTCTCGTACAAGGCGGTGGCCTGTTCTTACATGAGTCTCGCGGCTCACGCGGAGCCCTCGCATTCAAGACTTACCACCAACCGGTGTTCAGGCGGAAGTTCGCGTTGACCGATCACTGTCAGCACTCCTGTCGTCTCTATCAAACCTCACACCTTGAAGTTGAAACAGAGGTCTTTCTACTTGATCACGGAAATGGAGCGGATTGTTCCGCACAGTTTCGGGCGCCGCAGAAAGCGCGGCGTCGCGTTTTCCCGCATTGATCCTTCCAACTCTCGCTCGTTGGCTCGTGCGGCAGCATTACTGGCGACATTAAACTACTCGCCATCCTCTTTGGCTGTTGCGAGGCAGGTCGCGAATAGTCGAGCAAAACTAGCACCGCAGAGCGAATCGAAATGCGATTCGGAGGAAGGCACGGATCAACCTGGCGCTGACGAGGTGTTCGACATCCGATAAGACGACGACAAGCCATTGAGTTTCGTCAACATAAAAGCCGCCGAAACAGCATCCGCCAGAGTAGACACAGGCAGCGTTGCGGACAGCGTTCGCCCTATAAGTGGCACCGCAACACCTAAAAGCAACGACAGGGATCTTGGGCCCCTTGATCGAGGTGCGACTTCAAATGGTACGCGTGAGGATTAAGTAGATGCACTAACCTACTAGGGGGCATCCCCGAACCACAAAATCTCCTAAAAATTTTTCAAAAAGGACAACAAGCACTCAAATAGAAGCTCTTCTTGCTTTTCTCTCCTAGTACTGGAGTCGAATTTACAGGACTCCTGAAGTTAAGCTTCGTAAAATGAATTCATAACTAGATTACGTTCTCCGGATCTTTGATAGACTTAATCAGAAATCTAGTACGTGATTCGGTGGCACCCAAGTGATATGGTCTAACCGTACACGACACGATGGGCGAGTGGAGAACTTAGAGCCGCGATTCAGCACGATGAAACAGCGAATAGCAGCTCTCGAAGAGAAACAACAATTGAAGGCTCTGAGAACACGTAGAAGCTGCAAACAGTCAACAACAGCAGCAAGAATCTGGAACGTCTTCTATTGCACCAGCACAACTTGCTAAGCTAGATGTAGATTTCAAGGGCTCTCTGATTTCCGATGATTCGAGCGCTACTACAACATTCTTGGAATTGCCGCAAATCCGTAGGGATCTACGACAGACACTACAGGATGGGAAAGAACCGGTTGGGAGCAGAGCGAGCGTTCACGTCTTGTCACCAGCTAAGCGAGGTTCTTGGCCAAGGTATCGGATCACCTTCGAGCAACATGGAAAGTTTCCTGCGAACATAGATTCAGCAATGAGGAAAGAACTCATGGCGAATCAACTCAGGCTTTTCGAACGTGAGTAGTTGCTTGTGAAGATGTCCCGACTCAACTAGAACTTCAAAGAGGAAATGGAAAGTGCTCTACTAATAGGAAAAGCGTCGGGATATTATTTTGGAGAAGGAATTCCCGTGCAGCAAGCTCTGCTCGATATCGAAGAAGACGTTGCACCAGAGCGATTCCAAACCGAGATTCGTAGTAACGATCAACGCGTTGTCAAGGTGGGAGACTTCCACGCAATCGGTGAAAGAGACTCTCTGTTTTACGGCATGGAAACACTGATCAGTAGCCTAAAGCTGGAAGAGGAGCCCGCCACCCGCGCCAACCTCCGCCCGGGTCGACCGCTCAAAGGAGCCGATTTCGACGACCCAGACTTCGATATAGAATGTCAAACTCAAACCAACGCGAAGGCGGCCGCTGGCAGCTCTCGCGGATTCAAACCGTTCAGAGTGATGCAAGTTGAATTTATAGGTTTACGCAACGAGAGGAGTTCCCAGTGCTACCTTGAGCCGCATCTTCTGCTGGTGAAGGCACATGCGAGTACTACAAATCGAAACGGATCTAGAAATCGACCATGTTCAAGCAGAAACAAATTCAAATTGATTACAGAATTTTTGAATTCGAATTCATATTCTGTCCTCGTCTGGCACGAGTGCTTGGAAAGCCCGCTGAGCCTAGTGTTTTGGTCTCACGCATGTTTCAGGTCGCGGTGCTGAACTCTCCACGTCCACGACATGCGACGCATAAGATTAGATCATCATTCATCTAGAGGACAAGCAATCCAGCTGAAGATCAGCATAACAGAGCAGTTGTACTTCTAGGCGGTAATGAACATTTTCACCCAGAGTAATTTGAACTAGATCGACAAGATCAGGAGGGAAGACTCTCGGTCTGATTTGGAGTGCGCTCAACCAATCGTGCATGATCTAGACGAACTCTGATAGATCCAAAAGAATGAGAGAACTCTGGCAGGAAATACAAAAGAATGAGAGTGAGAGGCGAGTGACTGAGTAGCTGTACCAGCAATTCTTGGAGATATGATATCTACCAGTAGTGCGAGTGTACGTCTAACAAGCTTGTTCAGTGACATCTTCAACTTCATCTACTATAATTTTTGTATCTAGTACTTATACATACTTTCTCATCTCTGTATTCATGGGCACGATGAAAATCTAACTTAACCCCTCTTGTCATCAAATTGAATTTGAAGTTCATTAAATTGGCACTCCGGTCACCGACACTAAGAAGGATCAGTGCTCTCAATTCAGTGGCAGGAACGCGACACGGTCAACGACCGCAAAATCGTCGCCGTGTCATGAGAGCGAGCACTTTTCCACTTGTGGCGATAACCTCTACTTTTTTCCTAAATGATTGAGCACATTTTATGCACTTACTGGCGTCAGCTTTTTTCGTTTCAATCATTACTTTTTTACACGTCTACGCTTTGCGTTTTTTGTAAGCTCATCAATAGACGGACTCCTTTCCCCCGCAGAATGGAGAGCATCTATCGGCCACGGAATACGGACTTCATGCGAGCCGTATGAGAGCAGTGCGTCACGCTCATACCACTCGTTAGCCTCGGACTTCCATCGGCCTAATTTCTTCACGAGCACCCTGTCAGCGCCACCGACTATGGCTGCCTGGCAGCCGCCAACTCTTGAGCTGTGAAGCCCGTACAAGACTCTCGCCCTACCTTCGACGCGATTTGTTATCGAAGCACGCTCGAGGAGGGAGTACAGCTGACGCCGCTGCTTTTCGTTAGTTGCGGCACAAGCTGCTTCTCGCTGCGCTTTCGTAGAAAATGCATGCACTGGGCACATCTTAATCCCGTGCTCTAGGAGTGGCAGGATGTTGCAACAGCATCTCATCTTTATCTTCGTGCCCCTAGCTTTTTGGTCGGTTTTGCTTTTCTCAATATGCACGAGGATAGTCCTTTCCGTCCACGTTTCGTCAGGGACTAGGAGATGATGGGCTTCGTCCTGTCTCATGAGGAAGAAGAAGCAAAAAATGGCTAACCGCACTACTAAATGATCAGTTTCGTTTTCGCAGGCAGCCGCTAACTGCTGCAGAAGGCTAGGTGTGAAGCCTAATTCAGACTCGGCCGGTCCTGCATTGCGCGAGCAACTTCGATGAGTCTTCTTGTATATCTCCTCGAGCTCTGGAGGGAAAGGGAAACCTTTCCCAACTGAAACGGAGCGAACGAGAGACAAATAAGCACACGCTGACTGCGGCATGCACTTTTTCAAAATTGCAGCAAAAAGCTCTAGTTTTTCTAGAGTAAGGGGAAACGGCTCCCACTGCTTTTTCTTACAAAGCTCCTGATATCGTGAAAAGGCGCTATCGCTAGTTTTTCGCGTTGACTTCGCGAAGAAATCAACGCGCAAGTCATCCAATAGCTCAATATGCTGGCCTTCGTTATTTACCAGCGCAGTATACTGCGCTCGTTTACCTGGGTGAGGTGGGAGGGATGAAAAAACTCTAATCCTTGTTACGTTCTACAGCGGAACTTTGCCGCAGAGGAGGCGCTTCGCCTCCTAGTTGTAGTTTCACCACAACACAGCCAAGATAATAAAAGGGGGGTCGCCTACCCTACTGCAATTTAATCCAAATTAAATCTGAGAGAAACCGACACAGATTGAATTCCACATTAAATTGGCACTCCGGTCACCGACACTAAGAAGGATCAGTGCTCTCAATTCAGTGGCAGGAACACGACACGGTCAACGACCGCAAAATCATCGCCGTGTCATGAGAGCGAGCACTTTTTTCCAAGCGCTACGAGACAAGCACACTACGCCAAGCGCGGTCTCTCTTGTGTGCTTGATCGATGACTCGGCGCTTTTCCGCAATCAGAAATAAATAATACCAGCGCTTTGCCCGTTTGTATTCGGCATATCGTGCTAAAAAGTCGCAGCCTGCACCTTTCTGCGTACTGCGTTCTGTAGTCTGGCAATACTATTGCCCCACTGAGAGGAAACTGTCTGAGTTTTCATATTTTGTCCAATGGTATACAACTTACTTAAGACGAACTGGAGTCAATGCAAAACTTGCTGAAATCGAGGAAACTTCTGCCATGAGCTTTTTTCTGAAAACGAAGAAACTCGGGTGCAGACAAAACGCAGTGGAGCTTACTTGAAAATCAGACGTCCATGATTGGTCACGATTCGACTTGCCTACACATGTTTCAACTTAGTTACGACCTATTCGCGACCTACTAGATCAGGCGGGCTTGCCTAGTTTCCCGCTACTCAAGACTGACAACCGGCATCGACATCGAACGACGATGGCCTTCTACTAGAAAACCGCCACGCCGTGGGCGTCGAGACTGACAATAAAACGATACTTCTGAACTCGAAACACTACGACAACACAGGGCCGAACTTGTAAAGATTAAATCTCAATAGCTTGCTGGAGCTCGATGATCTGTTGAATCTGACGCCTTACATCTCAAACCTGCTTACTTATTGAGGACTCTGCAGCCCTAACGTGTTAACGATTTTTGCAATCAATCGAGCATCCTCAATAGAACTCATCACCAACGACGAGAGCCCCCATCGAAGCCGTTGCGAATCGAGATTAATTCTGCTGCGCTGGAGCTCCACTGGAAGCTTTACCTGGAGAAAGCGATGAAGGAAAAGAGCACGAAGCGTGCTCGAGGTAAACGTTGATACTTTTGCAAATGTCACAACAAGGATGAGTTACTGGATAAGGCACTCCATCAATAACGGGCACGATACCCCTAGAAGGGGCGTCCGCAATATTGAGTTCCGACGGAACACGCTCTACCCATAGATTTACGCTATAAGTGGTCACCAACGTCCACACTGCTTCGATAACTGAACAAGTACGCGCGTCGGTGCTATAGCCTTTGACTGTAGCACCCTGGGCCGACGTATTGTCGACAAACCACACTACATCACGGCCCCGGAGCTCTTCTGCCCAATGGTGAAACGCTAACCAACCCGCCAAAGCTTCAAAAAATTCAATTTCACCTCCTGCATTCACCCACATGGCGAAGTACTCCTTTTTCCCTGTTGCAGGATCATCAAGAACGGCGGCGACGCGCTTCTTTGTCGCGTCAGTATGAATCACTACAGGCGGTTTAGGCTTACCCCCCGCTGCCTTGATTTGCCGCCGAAACGAGTCGGCGTGGTCTGTCAACAATGTAGACCACCACAGTAGTGCTCTCTTCAGCTGTTTACTGAGTGTACAGCTAGGGTGAGAGATGTGCGCCCTTTTGTAAATTGGAACCAAATACGGCCGCCCGATGCGGCCGTATGTTGCAGTGCCTGTCCACGTGAGCAAGCCCGCAAGCCTTTCTGCCCCCGGCGGGGCAAGCCAATTTGCATCAAGTGGCCCCCTGATCTCCTGCCGGATCAGCTCTTTCCTCAGTTCTGTAATGGAAACGTCTACTTTTTGGCGCCCTGTGATCTGTACCCTAGGCCCTAAAAAGGTTATTTCCGAACCATGTTCCAACTTTTCATTTTTGAAATCCGCAGGCCCTATGATATCTGAATGAAAAGCAACTAAGTCCGCTATAGCAGCCTCTTCATCCGACCCCATCACTGGCATTGCATAATCATCGAAAAACCCTATCAAAGGAAGACCCAAACAGCGACGAGTCAACACCTGACGCACCTGCGACGCCAGGTTATACGACAACACATTTCGGGCAGGCCCGAAAGTCATCACCACTGAGACCCCACATTTTAGACGACCCGAATTGGGGTCGACAGCGCAAATAACTGCGTACTTGCGATGCTCCTCTTTGATTAAGTAATTCTTGTACGCTTGCGGCTCGTCTATTTTGACTAGCTTTACCTCTGACTCACTGCTATGGCCTCGCTCCATCAACTCCTTCGCCAGAAGGACAAGATGATCGACCCCGAAGAAGCGCACCGGAGTCCGACAGGCGAAGGCCTCGCTGAGGCCTGCTACCCTTGTGGATTCGATCGCCCTCTGCTTCAACTTCCACCCTGCTGGCTTCTCTTTCCACTGATGAACTGTAAACCTACGAATAGGCGCAAAGGCCTCCGGCAAAGCATCTGCGTCGTCGATAAGATCATAAGGCCCCTCGAGAAAACCGGCCTCGCAATCTTTCAGAAAAGAGGCCCAATTCTCTTCCGCGTCGCCGTCGTTTTTTGCAGCTCGATGCACTGCTTTAAGCAGCTTATCCTTTTGCGCTAATAGCTCTTCTCTTGAAGTGACAGGTTTACACCGTGACTGCCTGGGAAAAACTCCGGGCTCATCTCCCACATCTATGAGGGGAAAACCCATCTCAAGATTACGGACGAACTCCGACCCGTTACAGCCATACTCTTGCAACATTAGCCCTATGAGCTTGCTGTTGAGCTTACTTGCTATTTCTTTCGCTAAACCAGTGAGGTGGTGCTGGCTGCTGTCTTCTGATCCTGAGCCTGATCCTGATTCTATCTCCGTTTTCACTTGAAGCCACCTACGCAGTTCTTTCTTTCGCTGTTCTTGATTTTCAAGCACAGCGCACTCTGCCCTTCTTACACAAAATTGCAAATCCTGTGGAAGTGCCTCTACTGACAGGCGCGGAAAGACGAACTCACGCGCCTGCTTCACAAACTCCGCTACAGAGTTTGCCCCTTGAATGTTAGAGCCCCCCCAGCGGTTGCGTTTCACGTTTTAACTCCTACCCTAACTCGGATTAAACTCCTGGCACATGCTCGGGCTCGTTTCTGCTGTTAAGGGGGTCAGCTTTTAAGCCTAAAAAAAACCAGCCTGGTCGCATTTTTTGGCGCCTGAAAACGCAGAAAAAAAGAAGGCGCT